AGTAGTAATTCGTAAGTGATAAATATGATTATCAAGACGAAAGAAACACCCTAAGAGTAGACACCAGCTAGTTAGCTTAAGTTTGGTGCAAGTGGGTGGAAGGTTAGCAGCGTCAACACTGCATACAAATTGTTCACTGATGTCTTGGACCTTTAGCATTACCATTAACAAGATTTCCATCGTCTTCCAGCTTTTACGTGTGAAAACGTGACCCACCTGCAGATGTTATCTTTGTTACAGCTTCAAAGTGAAAATTAGTGAACAGTAATTATATTTTGTAAGTTTTAAAGCAGTTGACACGTCCTAAAAATGTTAAAACCTTGCTTAAGGCAATAGTGTAAAAAGTAGCTTGGTTTTGAGTTATGTTCTAGTTTATTATAATGTGATTTTAATTGGCTTAAGTTACTAGTGAGAATAATGAGGTCATTAAAACTCTACAAGGACAGTTAGCCATTATAATTGATTTTAAATACCACAATAGACCTATTATATTGGTTTTGAACCATCTTAGGTTCAGTAGATCAAATGTATAGGTAATACCCTTTTTAATATACCAACTTATAAAGGAAATAAATGTAATCTGTTTTATGTTGTGTAGGAGACCAATCAATATTCTTTTCTAAAAGCTCCCAACTCGAATATCTCTACACATCATTATGAGTAGCAGCATAGTGAGATAATTAGTTTTTTTTTTTTTTTTTTTTTTTTTTAAGGGAGAGGAGGGAAAATGCTTTTACGCACACAGGTAGCCAGCCTGTAGTGAGAGACTCCTGAATCTATCGCAGACTACTCACTAAAAAACCCCCTCTACTCTGTTGGACATAGACCTGGATTTGTTTGTCACATTACTTCAAGTCAGGCCAACATGTTACCTAAAGCAGGAAACCCACTGGTCCGACACTCTCCGACACGACGCCTTCCGTCAAGTCTCCGACACCTTCCGACAAAATTACTTTGCATGACTTTAAATGAACTGTAACCCACTAGTCCGACACGACACCTTCTAATCCGACACGTCACGACAACATTGCTCTCAGGGGCATTCTTGTCGGATTTCGGATCCATCATTTCAGGCTTTGCCCATCATGAACAGGTACGACCGGAAAAAGCCGTGACCCGTCAGAAATTGGGTGAGGTAGAAGTCCACCTCTCCGCACCGCCGATTAACCCAAGGTTGGACTTGCTTTATCAGTCGCCTGGTCCAGCGTCCCCGAGTCTCCTGTTCCCAGCTCTCCTGCCGCAGCTAGTAGGTGCGGGTGCGTTCCTCTGTTCGTGCCTGGTCTTCCTCACGGCGATGATAAATTGCTTTTCTCTCCGCTGCCAAAAGTTTGACGGGGATGACTCCAGCAACCGCCAGGACGGCGGGTTCGGGCACTGTTCGGTAGGCGGATGCAACTCTTAGTGCTGCCTGACGCTGCACTCGGGCGAGCCACATCCTATATACCTCCTTATTTAGAGCGTCTGCCCACACCTCACCACCGTACAAGAGTACGGACTGGACAGAAGACATTAACAGCCTTCTACGGCTGGACCGGGGCCCTCCGACATTGGCCATCAACCGGCTAAGAGAGGAGACCACCCTAGCGGCCTTGTCCGCCGTACGGGAAATCTGATCCCGCCAGCTAAGCTTGCTGTCCACCATAATACCAAGGTACTTGGCAGAACGAACGGTCTAGACTTCGACGGTCCCTACCCTCAACGGCACGATGGTGTCAATCCGTTTTTTTGTTAATATCACGATCTCAGTTTTGCTCAAAGCAAGCGAGAGACCGTGGTCTGTCATCCATGCGTTTATAGTACGGTTCAGCTTTTGCTGAGCCAGCTCAACGCTACGTGCAGCTATCAAAACTGCAACGTCGTCTCCGTACCCAACCAAAACAGTTTCCTCAGGCATTTCAGACCTCAGGCGGCTGTCATACGCGACGTTCCAGAGGTCCGGACCGAGTATGGAACCTTGGGCAGCACCGGAATTGACAATCATCGTCCGTGGGCCCTCTGTAGTGTCATACAAGAGGAGGCGGAACCGGAGATAAGTGTGATAAATAGTGTGATAAATAATTGTGATAAGTGATAAATAATGACTACATTGAAATGTTAACGGAAGGGTATACATTGTGAGTTTTCTCATGCTTACATGGATACCAATTATTAATATTTACTGTTGAAAATCCCACCTCAAAACTTAAGACATTCAAGTGGCGTAGTCCGAGAGGAACTCATGGAATTGAATAAGCAAGCCTAAGTCATTCCTAGCTAGATATGTGGACCATCTTTGTGCTCAATTTTAGCGGTATCGGTTTAGTATTTTAGTCATGACAGCTGCTAAAACAGACAGACACCACCTCAATTGTATAATTGTATAGATGGAAAGATAGATAATTTAGTTTAATGTATCGACTTACAAAGCTCTATAGACATAGGGTCATATGTGAAAAGTGTTGAAACTTTAAATATTCGCAAATGATGTAACTTCAAAATAGCTGTATTTTGTTAAATACTTGTAAATTTGGTCAAATATTTACTAATGAAGTCACACAAATATTTAATATTAGAGAATATTAGCTTTATAAATAAATTATCTAGTAAAACATACACCATTTGGCAAGAGTTATGGAGGTGGCGATAAAATGTTTAACTGTCATCGACCCTGCTAGCATTTCTGTTAGTGCCTTAATGAACAGATTTTATAATGTCACGGCAGCAGGTCCATTACACAAGGTGTTACCAATAAAAGTGGGGTTGTAAATTATACGAAATTTAAGAATCAATAAACACAGGTCACAATAACATACATCAATAAACACATCAAGGTTACAAGGTACCACAGAACTCTCTGGAACATTTTATATAACATTGTTCTAGACAAATACTTTTTCACAAAATAATCATGACGGTGACTAGTTTTCCGTCTATCGGTCTGTGTGTGTCTTTGACAAAATTACTTACAAACTCAAGTTTTTTTTTTATGATATAAACTTGAATTTATTATAAATGTGTACCTTAATAGTCAGACAAAGTGTATAAAATGCTGTTGCTGTAACTAAACCAATTTAAAAACTGCCGTTATTTAAAAATTGTAATATACAATGCCTTGAAAGCTATTACAGCTACAAAATATGTTTAATTAATGTAAAAATTACGCAGATAAAAGCGAAATTCAACTACACATTATTTACCACAATAATATCATAAATAACCAAGTCGTAATAGTTTTTGTATATCGTAGTAACTTCCGTAATACCACAATACATACAAAACATCGTTTTACAGCACATGCGAGATGCTACCCATTATTAATCAGCTGTTTTCTGCATCAGTTGATGCTAAACATGGATCAGCTGTTTATTAGTGAATGATCCATGCATATCACAATATTCCTCATGCGTATGGTTGAAGAATAAAAAATGAACTACACATAAATACCTCATTTTAAATTGAAACCATGAACTAAGCAAACATGTTTCAAAATTATTTAGCTTCTAGTTTACTTCGTCGACAAATGCCAAGAAACAACTAGTAATCCCACTTTATTTGGCTTACTGATGTTTATAATTTGTTTGTATCTATTTTCTGAACTAATATGCGACATTTTGTCCAATTATATATTTTTAACAAATTAATTATATTTCAAACCAACTTTTAACTAATCTTTTGATAACATCTATGTCTATCTGTTTTAAAGGCCATTTTATATCACTGTGATTTGTTTAATGCGTTGATATCATTACTGCGTCACTAATTAATTATACCAACCCCGTGAAATAGCCCCATAAAAGCTATAGGACAACCAATATAAATTTTACTGGATCACATTGAGTATGTCTTGATTATAATGCCATGACATTATAAAATCTTTGTTTATAACGAGGTGCTCGCCCTTAATGTTATACCATAGATAAAAGGAGTATAGACATACTCTCTATACTGTATACTGTCTATACTCCTTTTATCTATGGTTATACGCAGCCTACTGACCGTTGTAAACAAGAATTGCTTAACTTATCTTAAAACAATGTTTAATATTGTGACAAAACATTTTCAAAAGACTATTCGGGTCTTTATCAGAAGAGCGTCAACCACTATTTCAATGGCTTATTGGTTTTGTAATTTTTGAGCTTTGTGATTATTTCTGTTCAGTAAATGAAAAAAACCGTCAAATGACAAAATAATAGGTTGCTAACCTGTCGTCAATGAATCCAAATTTGTCGTGAATGACTCGTTTCGGGGTTAAACCATATTTTCGAATATTTTTCTCGTCCATTGTCAATCATAATCTTCTTGCACTTTCCGTTGTTAAAATTACTTCACATACAAACACACAAAGGAACATTTAGATAAAAAAAATATAAAAACGAGCGAATTCAGCCTATGACAAAATCAGACTGCCCCAATACTAGTCATCCACAACAAATTAGAATCGATTGACGATAGGTTAGTAATCTATTATTTTTGTCATTTGACAGGTTTTTATTAATTACTCAACAAAAATAATCACCAACACTCAAAAATCACAAAACCATTAAGCCATTTAAACTGCCTTTTAAATGTAAATAGGTGTTGTTTTACGATTAGGTGAAGCAATTCTTCTTTACAACGGTCAGTAGGCAGCGTATAACATTAAGGGAGAGCATCTCATTATAAACAAATATTTTATAATGTCACGGCATTATTATAACCTAACCTAAGCCAACTAACCAAATAACATAACCTTACCTAAACTGTGGGTTTTACACAGTTTAAATAGTGGCGGCTTTCTTCTGAAAAAGACCCGACTGTAAAATCAATATGCTACCATGGTACACTAAGTATCATCCACAATTTACATTGTTTTATTTTAACGTTTCTCAAGTTTCGAAATAATATAGAATAAGGAAATGCACAATTAAGATGTTGTATTTGTCATGAGCTTGTGTGGAAAAGGAGAAAGTATTGATGGTTTTCGCTTCTCCTAAATGAGCAAACGAAAGTTTCAATGAGGTTATAACAAATATGTCAAACAATTGATCAAAAATAAATTTAATAAATAAATACATATAATAATATAGGAAGTGGTGATCCGGGTCCCTTCATTCTAACCATACGTTTCCTTGTAGAAACTGTAAACCACAAACACAGAGTAGATCTGTATCACTGAAAAAATAAAACATTGATTATACAGTGTAGTGTATTTAAATGAAAATGTTATACACAGCTTCTAAATTATTTCACACATATAAAGAATTGAAAGTCATAGTTAACGTATATAAAATAATCTGTTGAGCCAAATATTCTTTTAGACCTTTAACTAAAGAATAAAACAAAAAACAAAAAAGTAAATAGTTTAGTTGAAAAGTAACCTATTAGGTGAAAAAAATACACTGAACTGTCATGTAAATAATTCGTTGACTTTAAGCATTTCATTGTTAATAAAGTCTTTTATTTCTCTGTTTTAACATTTAAAAAGTAACCTTGACTAAATCCTAAATATCAACATTTATATGTGTATTTCAAAATCAGGCAAACATTACGTTTTATTTTAAGGTGTATAACCCATAACAGTTTAGTAACATCGTTTTATTGTTATACTTTACTTACGAAAAACGATAGATGCGACCAAGATCACATATAATGCGTCCACCAAAGTAAGACCCAATGATATGATGTTGAACAGGAGTGTGATGATGTTGACCGCAATGAAAAACGATTCACACCATATGAATGAGTGGACAGACCGCTTATGGTTCTGAAAAAGGTCAAACTCTTTTAGTTTCTACTTTGGAACTTAAATTATCCGATAAATGTCCATAGTAGCAGAGACTAATAACCAAAGTGGTTTTTGGCTTCAAATAAAACATTTATTCTTGTGCAGCAAAAAACAAATTTTCTACTGAACCTAAAAATTTAATTCAGCACTTAAAATAATATTCATCAGGTATTGATATGTTTTACTACGAACAAGGTACGTATAAAAAGGTTACGAATATTGCTTTTTTTCAAAATAGTGCAAAATAAACAAAATGTAAATTCATTTTTGAATAAGTAATTCAAAACTAAAAATTTATCAATAAATTTATAAAATAATACCGTAGTAAATTTAGTATTATTATCTGACTGAAGACTAGTTAAGTTTGTATAAAAAACAGTTGAATAGTGCATCAAGCGTATAGCCTCTAACATCGTACAGGTATAAATTAATTGTGAGTCTTTTGTATAATATATAGTTTATCTTACCAATTATTGAACTTCAGACAGGAAAAAATCCAGAAAAATATAAGGCATTTATAAAATGTTTGTATCTTGGTTGTCACCTGTTCGAAAATAATAAAATCAAGTAGAACCACTAACAAACGAGCTTGCAAAATTACGACTTATTTAATGTATATTTTGCAAAATGTTTTATGCCTTAAAAATTTATAAATATGATCAAATATCAGTCAGTTTATTTAAGTCTTGAACCAATCCATCAAAACATGCACACTGGTCTATTATATACAGTCATGTAATTTTCCAGTATATATCTCGAAATAAAGATCAAACACAGACATAAAATAGTTTTTATGTGTTGTACTTACCGCATAAACACCATACAATAGGACGATGGCAATTCCCATTTGAATTGCACTAGTTAAAATTATTAACCAAGAACCGTTTGCTGTTTCTGAAAATACAAATTAAGATAATATATTGGAGGTTCAACGTAAAATTTGGAAACTTGATGTGTTTTAAACTAAGTTGAACACTAATAAATGAATATTTGGAAGTAGTAAGCAGTCTTCGTAATCTTAACTGTGAAATAAAAGATATTCAATTTACGAAAATTGATACTTCAAAATTAGATCCATGTTATAATAACCTACTAAGATAATTTAACAAGGTTTTAATGATCACATAAATTTTAAGAAAAGTGTTACACAATACACACATCTAGTCTTAAATATTTAGAAAACATTGTTTAGTATAACATTAAAGAATAGGATAAATGCATATGAAATTAAACACTCGTTTAGGATTTAAGAAATCTATACTTATTTAACACGCAAGCAGGATTTTTGTGACAATTACTCCTCCGAAAGCACTGAACCGATTGACATGTTTTTGGTGTCATTGGAAAGAGCGTAACATGAAGTTGTGCAGGAAACTTTCTTTTTAGGGAAATAATTAGAGAGTGAGGCCCTGGGGCCCTTTAAAGTTTTGTATTTCTCCATAAGATTAACATGGGAAACAAACATTGTTTTGAAACTCCAGCTGTTGTCAGTAATTAAATATTCATAATTGGTCTCCATGGCAGCATGAGAAAATTCACAATGTTTACGTTTGCTTTGACATTTAAATGTAAACAACCAGAACTGTTAAATGCCTATTTCAAAATTTCAGAAAACTGATCCAAAAAAATTAAATAACTATGTGGTAGGTTTATTTAATCTTAAACTTTATTATAGATTATTTATTATAAATCTATTTCAATGATTATGAAACAGATTTTTCCTGTTGCAAAGCAAAAATTAAAAGTGAGAAGAAGAACATATGTTAATTGTAAACAGTCAATCTGTAAATTATCTATGTTGTATTAAAAATGTGTATATAGTTCGGCCGCTTAGAAAACGACCTGCGCGCTAATGCTAAACCAATGCTGGAGGAGGTCGCTTTCTAAGCGGCCGAACTATAGTTTTGGATATTGGTTTGTGTTTAATTATTTAAGTTATTAGTTATTGAATTTTTATTTTAAGGATTTGGCATATGAGTAAGCTTATGATAAATAACACTATTTCAGAGTTCTGCCAGTTTTCGCCTAACTCTGTCCTGTACAGTTTAAAGTAGCCTACACCTTATTGTCTACAAATTGGCTAAATAACTTAGTTGGTACTTTATAAAAGCTGACAGCCTTTTTAAATTGACTTAAATTGTAAGCTTACCTTTTCCCGTCCATGGGCAGTTTGATTGTAAAAAAAATTTACCCTTTAAACTGGAATAGGACTGTTATGTAAATTGTGAGTATTTCTATTAGTTAATAGTCTTTTAGTTGACTCTTTTAAAATCATCGGAAATTATGACAGTTATTAGTTTTTAAACAAATTATTTGTTTATAAATAACTCCTGTACTTCTTTGCAATTGCTCGATTTCGAGCAACATGTACAGTAGTATTATCTTAATGCCTCATTAACACACACCAGCACTTCACAATATACTTACACAATGTTGGAATATATGTCCCTCATCTATGTCAATCATTAATGACTACAAACTGTTTTTATGTTGCTCAGATTCTCTATGGAAATTTAATTTAAAAATCCAACATTCAACAAATTTTTAGTTTAACCTCAATTCAAAATTAATGCGTCAGATGCTCGTCTTACTGCAGACAATCATAAAATGCTAAGACCTTGATCAACGTTTAACCATACTTGACTTTGACTAAACAATCCTCGACCCATCGGCCCCCTTGCCCTCAAAATGTCTCCTGTCTTTGATTAAACGTCTTTGATCAACCTGGCCTACGCACAGGCACCAACGAACTATACTATAGTGTATAGTTCGTTGACAAGCACCTGCCCATGTAGGCATTTCCCACAAGCACGGCAGAGTACATCCAAACAATTAATTTCATACTAGTTAGAAACTAGTTTTTTTTCTCATTATGTAATGTAAATTGGGATAAATAATCGTATTTCATTTATTTTACTTCATATTTTAGGTTACCTACTTTTTTGATCACATGTTAACTAAATATAACTGCTCTCAGATAGTTCTATTGTTTTACGAGTAAAGACAAGAAGAAAGTAACCATTACCTTTTTCGATTATATTCTAGCTCTCACAGCCTAATATAATTTTAAGTATGATCTTGTTTATTTACATTATCAAAAGCAATTTCCAATACTGTTCTCTACGGTATTTTTGAAATCTAATCACTATTCAGTGTTTAATCACTAGGAACATCAATAGCTGTAGGTATTGAAAGGAAAACGACTAAACAAATCAATCTTTGACTAGGAAAAAAACTACCAGCTTGAAAACAAAATGAGTTGAATGATTTGATAATATACAGGCACACCATTTTTGTGGACCCAATTCAAAGAATTTTATCACATTATTGACGTGTAAATCAAAGTTAAAATCTTATACTCCAGTTCAGGAAAACCAGCTAAAGATTATCAAGTTAAAGATTTTGACTTTGATTTACACGTCAATAATGTGATAAAATTCTTTGAATTGGGTCCACAAAAATGGTGTGCCTGTACATTATCAAATCATTCAACTCATTTTGTTTTCAAGCTGGTAGTTTTTTTCCTAGTCAAAGATTGATTTGTTTAGTCGTTTTCCTCTGAAAACAGCAATTAGCAATTAGTAAATTGCTATTCACTAATTTCAACAAAATGGGCCTAGCTTTGATTCATGCGTGATTCGTTTCACATATTGCTAGTACAATAAGAGATATAGGATCCATCTAAAATATAAATTTATATGATTTGGGCCTACCTAATACAATAGTTATACTTACCATTAATTGTGCTCGCCTGCCCACCGAATCTTACAGTAATGTTTGTAGCTAAAGCTACCATGAAGTAGACCTAGAGAGGACATCAAATTATCAAGTTATTTTTCTTATATGTTTTTGTGCAATTGTATACGTAAACAAGATTTGAAAAACAACGTTATTAGCTAATGAAGACAGCTGGTCCATACAGATGGGATGTCTACTTCAGTATCAAATAGTTATAGTTATCAAATAGTTATCAAATATAGTTTCAATGCTAATAAGAGGATTCTAAAACACCCGATTTTATAGCTATCAAAGGAAATCCATGGATAAGGAACTGTTTTATACACTTTTTCACCTTAATCTGTCAATACTTTCTCTTGGGAGGACTTAAAATCTAAGGATTTCAGAGGAGATAATGTATTCAATGGAACTGAACATACTAAACATGATAGTTGCAAGATTGGGATTATTTTAAAATTGAATCGTTATAGTGTTTAACGACATTGTAGTATGTATGTGTTGTCAATCCCTGTTACTATTGTAAGGGGTTTTTATTTGTCATCAAACTAACATTTGACATTTAAAATGATCAAGTGGCCTTTGTTTTTAATACAACAGTGAATATGAGAATTGTAGTTTTACCGTCATAAAAAGATTGCCATTGTTACAATTAGGGCCTTCTAGAAAGAAATTTGACAACAATTAAAATATGAGTTGGAAAAGCACGGTACAGAACATTACTTTTCCGTGTGTAGGCACGGTAAATGGCAACTTTCCAGCCTATCAATACGGTTGGAAAAGTACCTGTTTCTGTGTAGTATGATGTAAAACTTATTACAATGTAATCCTCATTTACATGACTTCAGCCAGTTCAATTATTTTACTTTTTAAATTTGTTTCAAAATTGAGAATTAAGGGTTTGTTATTAAATAGTATTGTTTACCTCATACAGCCATCCAATTATGATTGTTCCTGTCCGAAGTGAGGCACAGAAACAACAGTTGTTCAAAGTAGTTACCATTTTAATATTATTTCCTGCAAAATAGTTTACTAGTAAGAGCCATCAATTATGTCAAAAAGTTTGGTGATGTACCAGCCTGTGAATATATTGATCTCACAGTCATTAAAACAAAAAGCTAAGTGAGAACTTGTTTATTGGTGGCAAACATGTTTTATAAACTACAATTAAATAAAACACAACTAATTTCAATTCAAATAGTTTTTTTGTCTTACTTTATCTTAAATTTGAAAAGATAAGCCTTAAATTTGATTCGGTATACAGCTACTCAATAATTTACCATTGTAAATGGTTTACCCAAAACAAATGGGATTAATACTACATTGGATAACATTAATAATATCCCTATCCAATTTTAATATCAGTAATCTGGGCACTAAAACCCGTAACAAAAATTGATAACAGTATTACATTTCTAGGCTATACAATTCTACAATATCTGAGCTATTCAGGCTACCTGTTTGGATTACTTAGGTTGTGTTAGGAACTAATATACAGGGTGTTTTTAAAAGAATGCCGAGATTTTAAATGGTAATTGATTGGATACTATTCGAGGTAACTAAACGTTTTATACGTCAAATTGAAGCTAAAATAACTAAGTTTTGTTTCCCGTGTAGCAAGGGAGGAAACTTTGACCTTGATATGCGTAAAACAGGTGCGGGCCGCTATTGTGACTCATATGCCTGACGCCAGTCGCCAGTACGACATTATTTACGGTGCAACAGAAGGCAAAGATTGTAATCTGTAGTTCGCAGAGTTTATATCCATTGCTAAATTAAACTAAATTTAAATCTGCTTGATGGTAAAGAAAGTTGAAGCTGGTTTAATGAGTTTCGTGGAACCGAAGTGTTTTGAAAAGACATTCACCTGGCCGGCTAAAAACAAGCGATGACATAGTCGAAGAAATCCGACAATTCTCTATCAGAAGCCCGAAAAAATATATTGCCCCACGAAGTCTTTAGTTTAATGAACCTAAATTTGTCACTTTATGATGTTATCTATAAAATATAGAGTCTTTGTGTCAAAAAAGATTCAGTTAAGACATCAGCTAAACCTGCCGATCGCCCTACGCGTACAGACTTTTTGCCAATTTTACGCTCATATAAGATTTGTTAAAATTTGAATTTTAATAAATCATTCCGAATTGTATGAAAGAATGAGAAAAAAAACTTTATTCTTCACCCTTCAATTTGACGTTTAAATTGTTTAATTATCTTGAATAGTCACCGAGCAACGACCGTTTGAAATCCCGGTATTCTTTTTAAAAACACCCTGTATTTGGGTTTTACCCCCTAATTAACACTATTCTCTGTCCTCAACACATTAACATATATTTAAACACAAAGGTTGTGTAAAACAATACGGGATTTTATAACCCCCCCCCCTTTTAAACTGTAAAATGTATACCCAGACGTGAAACCTATTCTTTGTTAAAAGTACGTCACTCTATTGCAAATGAAACATAAAATTAATAAAAGAAAGGTTTGAAGTGTTTCAAGGACAAGCAAATATAATCCTAGTATGTTCTAAGCGTTAATTTCTAGGAAAGTATTCAATAGCTGGAGTGTTCAGCAATATTACTCACCCAGGCTCGACACACCTGTCACTACAGTATCTTTCGAACAACTGGCGCTATCTGTGGTGATTCAGTCTCTAAACAAGTCTAGGAGAGGCATGGGCGTCAGATAACATTACTGTACTCAACCTGGCTTTCCCAACGTACAAAAGCAAAACTCATCTCCTCACGTGTGGATAAATCAATGTAGCACGGTAAACTTGATGGCAGATTGCATCTGTAAAATATGTAGAAAACCTTTAACAATCCGTAGTAGTGATTATTATATCATTATAATAGTGATCCAATAAAATCCCAAAGGCACGGTGTAGTGTTTTAAGGTTGTGCTTTTACCTTAAAACACTTTTTGATAATTTTGCACCATAAGAGCCAAATCAATATGTTAAGCTAGATTTGTTTTTTATTCTTTGTATAAGGCTAATAAGGATCACAAACTTTTAAGAAACCCGTAAACCGTACACCTATTAACTGTATACTTAAATTAAAGGTCTTGATGTGAAATTTCTCCAAAAATATAACAGTTGTTAGGATAAAATCTCTCCTATGGCCTCAAACCTCAATTAAAAAGTTGGGTTTATTCAATTTAAAAATATTGCAAGTGCTTGATGATAGATTTCATTATATATATATATATATATATATATATATATTCGTAGTTTGTTCGTCTACTTTTCCCTAAATTAATCTTGTTGTAAATCATAAGTCATTTAGCTAACTGGCATGTTTGATCATTCTAAAAAAGACAAAAAAAACTTATCAGTATTTTGTTCCCACTAAAGTTGGTTCATGTAATCCAAGGATAATAACACCACCAAAGACTTTAAGAGCAAAATAAATTGAAGGGCCTAATGAACTGCAGGTCATGACGAGATCCAAGATACCAATGAGCTTGATTTAGACTTATATACATAACTCACCTTCTGTGTATAACGTTTTTCATCGGGAAGTGATTACTCAGTATCGTGTGATATTTGTTGTATAATTGTGAGGAAAACGCCTGTATTTTTTTACTTGTGTTTCCATGATAGTTTTTCAACTTTCTTAACTTTCTCACTCGGTTTAGTTCTGAGGAAAGACAAAAAATGATTGCAGGAAGCTCTGATGTTATCCTTTTACCATTCACTTTGGAGAGGTTTATGCAATATTTTGTTTTACTTACTCCTCTTTTGCCTTTAGAAGCAGGAGACAAGCTTGTGGTCCAAGAGTGTACGGCATCTTGTTAAGCTTAGTTCAAGAAAAGAATAACTAATTACTAAGACATGAATTTTATTTTCGCTATATCTAAAGTTTTCCGTTTTTAAACAATATTAAACATGTGGAAACAATTAATTTTATTATCTGTAAACAATCTAATATTAAAACCGTTACATGTGTATCCTTTATATGAGAGTTTAGCTGTCCACTCCGTTGTTACCATGATTCAAAACTTAAATGTAGACAAATTATTTTTGGGTTGTGATAATCCGTCCGAGGTTTATAAGTAATCTTTCTTTCTTGATATGCCTACGTTATAGGCTTCCTGCGGAAATCGCTCGTAGACTTCCCATTCAATGTAAACATTCGAAGCAAAAAATAGACGAAGCTCATTACCATCCCACCAAAGGGAGTGCATTGAGTTAAATATTAATTAAAATCAATTCAGCATGATCACAAACAGCTGGTTGATGGTTTACTTGACTTCAGAATATTGGCATTAGTTGGTAGACCATCTCAACAGATTGCACCACGTTTTAGGCTTCAATTTTGTACATTACATGGGAAGTATATTCTGTGTATGTCAATGCTCGTAGATATGATGTCTATCAATATTAGTGCTAAACTATTCCAAATGATGTGGCACTGAATGTTGAATTATTTGTTGATTAGGAACTGGACTCAGCTGTTTGATCATTGTGCTTTCAATAAATGATCCTGACTAATGAATCAGCTGGTCAAGTCAGTAACAAAGCTAAACAAGGCATCACACGCCATTGTACAATCATCCTTCACTCAAAATATGACGCCACCTATACGCGCATAGTTGGGGTCCCCATCTCGATTGATGACTGTCGCTTAAGTGTCTCTTAACAGATGTCGTTATCCCAGATGATTCATCTTCACCATTCAAGGAGTAGCATGACTGTCAGATGTTAGGTTTGTCTTCAATATTGACTGTCAGTTGTGGTGCTTATCTTGATAGGTTAGCCTATTCTAGGAGAATCCTGACAATTTCATATCTTCAAGAGCTTACGAAGATCTTCATACTTATTTAGATATTAAACATTATATGGAAAATGATGTTATAATTTAAAATATACCATCTGAATCAGTTTTTTTATACTTCCTTGAATAAGTTAATTTTTGCCATGGATATTAAAATTTTTAAACCAGTAAAAAAAAATGAAAATACACACGATGGACTAACGGAAGGCTTAAATATTACTGGACACTTGAAAGTTAATTACATACGTATTTTATTTACTTTTTAGCAGTTAATATAATATTTAGAGAAAACCATATAATATGTTTTCGACTTAATTCTGTTTCTGTAAATACTATAGCCTGTGAAAAAATTATGCGCATAGACTTAACAATGCAAGTAATACGTCATTAAGTGTTGAAAATACACACATCACTTCGTCGAAAACCAATTTAATTGGGTTCAGGGGTGCCCAAAACAGATATATCTACCTAAAACTCAAATCAAAATTTTAGACAAAAACAATACTTTCTCCGAAAAAAGTTAATACAGGCTTCACATTTTACAATAGAATGAAAAACTACCAATACTATTAATTTAAACTTCATCTATGCTTATAACTCACAGTTTATTAAATACAACTTTTGTACCTTTTTTGGTAAAAACTTTAGTGTAAAAAATCTTTCAAAGAGAAATATTTTATGCATTTTATAAAGTCTTTTCGTCCATCGTGTTTCACCATAGTAATTTTTTCTAACCTCAAAACTATTTTAGAAACATATTATTGCCAATACAAATTTCTCTATAAAGTTTATTACCGTGTAACGTAACACGAACGGCCAATTCGTTGTGACATTTTTTATTGAATCACGTGCAATTGAGCGACTCGTGTCACGGACAACATAAATTGTTTCAAACGGTCGTTACGTGATGATTTCATTGGTTCCACCTGTTCACCATGATTGATAACTATCGATGGAGATTATTTCAGTCCGGGACGTTTTTGACAGTGAAGAACAACTCTAATAAATATTTGAAAACTGTCAATTTAAGGGAATTATTATGTACGAGCGGTAGGTTGGTTATATTTCCTCTTTTAATTTTTGTTAATAGTACATAAGTGATAAAAATATAAATTTGTTATTGTGAATCATCAAATTGGGATCTTATATCTATTATCTTTTTTGTTGAAACAGTTTGTTCTAAAAGTTGGTTATAATAATTAACGTATGAGTTTTCAGTTAGTAATTTGCTTAGACTAACTGCTTGATAGTAGTTTTGGGGCTGTAAAAAGCTAACTGAGTGACAAGATATGTCGAATTATTTACTTAAGTTGTGTAGCCGTTGTTTATACAGATTTCTATTTTTCTCTAAAATATTTCACCAAGATGTGTGACATCTTCAGGAAGAATTTAATAGTGTTTTGTTATAATTATATACACGTACATGTGCGGCACAACGTATGTTCATGATAATGCATTTTCGTGAAGATGTGTGGGGGGATGAAAACTTTTAGGGTTGCGAACTTAAATGAACTTAAATAAGAATTTTTTCCCAAACATTCAGAATTTTTCAGGATATAAAAAAAGTGACATAGATTTTACACATAGACAGACACATCTCATAGTTAGAGGGTGAAAACCCTTAACTCCTGTTCATTACTTCAAAATAGTTCATTGTGGCTCTAGAGCGGGAATGAATAGTTTCCAATTCCCATTGACACCTATTTCGACAAATTTAAAACAATATCAGAATAAATAATCAGATGTGTATTAATGAATGTTTACATGTTTAGGCCTACTAATAAACCATAAACGAATCAGTGCTGTAAAATGCTTTAGTAACTTTAGTTGTTTAGGCTACTTTCAAATATTTTCCAAACCATTATAACTTCTTTGTAGCTGAAATAAAACACTGAATTATACTAAAATTGTCTAAAATTCAATTTTTTCTACACACCGTGGTAATACATTGGCTATTTTTTGTATATGATGGCTTAACCGAAAAAATAGGTTATCCGAAACAGCCCTCCCTCCTTTATTTAGGTTAATTGGGGTTTACCGTATTGGAGTGTAGTATGATTGAGTCTTTGGTAGATTTGTCAAAAGATGGCTTAGCTTTACGACGATTAGTTCACTGTTCTTTCTCTGTAGTTTGTGTCCTCCTGATTACAAATAAAGAAAGTACTAATAGACAAAATGTTTATATTTTATTATAAGAACTATTGATAATTCTTTTTTAAGCTATGAACAAACTTAAATGGTAATCTGTAAACCCAATGGAAATATTGGCCATTTTACGATCGGTTACAGTTGATGAAGATATATTATCTACGTTAAATGGGAAAAAATCATATTTAGAGTATATTTAATACTGAGCAAAAAAACTATGTACGTAAATTTGACAAAAAAACAAAAAAGAAACAAAAAAACTTTGATTTCGTGACCAATAGAGAGTAGTAGTCACTGGTAGTACAGTGTAGCCTACCCACCGTAGCATGTGTTTGGTTAGCCTATTGCATTGCATTATTATTTATAACTATTATCATGGCTTTGTTATATCTTTACATATTCTTTTAGAGCAATGGTTTTGGAATAGTCCAGATTCAACCATTAGATTTCCCATCCTTATGGAACAGCTGAAGACAATTTTATTGTTAGTTCATGTACGGTTTATGTAGAGGTCGTGTTTTGTTTACAATTTGTTTCCCGTTATTACAGCCATTTAAAACCTCGTTTAACCAAATAATACGATCTAATCATAAACAATAACTTGTCCCCTTAACCAAACAGTAAAGCACAAATAAAGAAATTAACCCTAAAATAATTGAAACAAAGTTTCATCGACACTAGCGCCTTTGTGTCACGTACATGAACTAGACACGAAAAACGTGCTTCAAAATTTACAATGGGATAAGAAGTCTACATTCAACGTAAGGCATTTTACATCCGTATTTTGGTAATTTATCAACTGTTCTATGTAATAGTAACAGCATAAGTATTTAGTGCATAAATGAATAGCTACACATCGATCTAGATATAACAAAATACCATACACTTAGTCATAAAAAGGCTTGTAAAGATTTTTTTTTTATTTTTAACTCTGGTAAAAACTTTGGTTGACCTTTGAATTACGTACTTTACTCGTAATCTATCGGTAGATAAGGAATATTGGTATTTCCTATGTTGCACAACCGTCTACTTATCTAATCTAAACCACTTACTTCTAAACCATTACTCATGTTCAGCTGCATAGACACCTGTAATAGTTAGTAGGTTACAAACTAAATCCTATATTTTAATAAGTTATTCTAAAGATTCATTTTGTGAACAAACATTTGGAATTGATAAAGCGATGGAATAATCCATACCAATTAATTAATTTCTTTTATTTCTTTTACCTGAACCATCGCAACCAATAATGTTTACTTTTAGCGAATTTCCCTATAGGGAAGTAGCTATTACCGTAGGTGGCACGGTAAGACCTAGACCCGGGACCAATTTACTTTTTCATTTTGATGTCCCCAGAGGCCAAAAACACTATTCGTTCAAATTTTTATATATGTATATATATATATATATATAGACTTATATATATATATATATATATATATATATATATATATATATATATATACGTCCGTGAACGCGATAACTTGAGTAATTTTTGTCCGATTTTGATGAAATTTGGTTTAAAGGTGTAAAGCGGGATAAACTTGAATGAGATCGCGAACGATCGGACCATGGGAACGGGGCTTTACGGGGGGTTTTATGGGGTAAAAATTGGTTTTTCTCACTTTTGACCCTCAAAACACAAAATTTCCCAATTTCTCTTTAGACCTTTTTAAAGAGCTTAAAAAAACAAATAATTTAGTATATAAAAGTATTTTTGTTCGATTATTAGTAACGGATAAAATTAAAAAAGTTGTAAGTTTAAAATTCCCATGTTATTCTTATGGAGAATATTGTCAAATGTTGTAGTTTGCTTGTTTATGAATATATTTTGATCAAACTTGGCAAATTTATTTATTTTTTAGTAAGCTATCAATATTTTACTCAAAAACACACTTTATTAGTTTCCTTGTAGCAGCAAACCTAGGTACTCGTTAAACCTAATGTTATTAAAATATATTTAACTGAAAATCAATTCAGACAAATGGAAATTCGCTTAGTCGGCAGGTTTGCTGCGGCGGGGGTATTTTTTATTAGTAGTGATTTCTCATTATTATTTCTAATAATGTTCAAGGAAATACCTTATAATATAGTAAGGTTCGGAGTCAAGGAAATCACAAGGTGTATTTTAAATACAAAACATGTTTTAATCATAAATAAAACACACATTTTATTATATACAAAACAAACAGCTGTGATAAAAGATTAAACGAATCGATTGTGTATATAACTATAAGTTGATTATTACTACAGTTATAAATGTTATTATTGTTATTTTCGGAAAATAATTCATCCGAACACAAAAGAATATAAACATATATACTAGAATTGTTTCTTAAAGGCGTGTATTAGACACTGAGGGTCTATTTTTATAATCTCAATGTATATTTTATGTATGTTTATATTTTTATGTGTGTACTGAGTTATTTTAGTTACCGATAACAGTTTTAACCAATAAAATGACTATTGAGATATCTGTGGTTTTCATTTAACATACATTTATAAATATACAAAAACATTAATTCCTGGAAGAAGAGACCTTTTACAGAGGTGGAAAATTATCATCGAACTAAAACTTTATTGACACTCTGATTCAGTGTGGAAAGTATAACGTTTTATTCATTAGGTTTCAACAAGTTGTGGATTTTATATTGTAAGCAGTAATTGTATAGGATTGATGATTAATATGTAACCAAAAATCTCCGGAAAATTGTTCATAGTATACAACAACGATAAGGTCACAGTTGAGTTTCACATATGATCTTCCATTTCCTTGTAGAAGCTGTAGACTACGACAACGAGATATGTTTGTATAACTGAAATCAAATTTGAACAACAATTTATACTACATATTAAAACTACTACACAATACAATTCTTACGTAGGCTCAAGCAGTTAACACAGTCAAAAGGAATAATTCAGCCAGAATATTCTGTTTACATTCTAGGTCAGCTAAGTATAAAGGTTTGAAATCAAATTCAAATAATTAAACAAAAGATGCAATAAGCAAAATATACAGTTCGTTATTTATAAAATTTCTAGAGTACCAGCTGTTATATATAAATATATATATGGGTTACCATCGTTAGGTTAACATTATTAACCTCTTTTTAGTAAATCTTTTACTGCTTCGGAAATTATTCAACAAAATCATTAAGACCGTATGAATAGCCTTATACACCGAAAGTACCCCAAAGATATTTTTCATAAATCCACAAAAAAATTTGAATACTAAATCCTTAATCAAAAGGTTTAATATTTCAAAATGAGTTTATTTGGAAAAGAATATTGGTGGCCAACATGGATAATTAATTACGATTGTTCGAGAAACTGTGTCCTAAAAATTGTTATCTTTGTCCAAAGCATGATTTTTTTAGATTCATAAACGTTAAAATGTTGGGAATCCTTCACGCAACATCCTAAATCAAACACCTGATACAATTTCAAAGCCTTATAACATTTTCCCTTTAAATTTTTCTTAACCTTAATTAACTTTCAGGATGAAAAATATGTGATCGATTGGTATGCCTATGATTCTATCTATCGATACTGAATGAAAGGAATATTTTTTTAATAATACTCACGCCACACGATAATACTAGAGGTGATCACCATAGCAACGTTACTGAAGGCTGCGTAGATGAGCAGAACAATCACCATGATAATATTAATGACAATCAGTGCCGCTTGTAGAAAGACGTAAAAGTATACGGTTTTTCTGTGGTGCTGCAAATATTTCAGATGTATTAAAATAATATTTATGCGAACACTTTACCCAGGTAAAAAAATTGGGGTTGTTTTAAACTTCTATGTACTTCATATTTAACTTTATGTTTTCTTGTAAAATAATTTCATACGTCTGATTGGAGTCGAAAATAAATATAAGGACATTTATATAGTGCAATAAATGTAAATATATATAAATATAAATAAATAAATAAATATATATATATATATATATACATTTTTGTGATTTGGGTATGCTACTCCTGGGGAGGGCATATTGGTAGTGGGGTATAGCTGACGATCTTAGTGCAACATTGGTAAGCGCTTTTCATGTAAGTATCTGCAAGTCTACATTGTCGGCTACTGTCGGTCGTGTATCACAAACTGAGTGGCACAAATGTGGCTCTACCACGGACGTAGATATTTCGTCACCACTCACAATTTAATTAAACAATTATGGATCCGCATCTCCCATTTCAAAGTATTTTTTTGCCATTAAAATTCGAGTTTCTTTGTGTTAGGAGACAGTTGTGTTAGGCATTCACGAACAAATTCGATCCATATTCAAATGATCATGAAGGATATTGTGAACACTTCCATGAGCTAAATGTACCTAAATGCAATTTCATCGATTGTTATTTTCCGATTTTCACGCACAACTGTTCGTACTCGTTCTATGTTTACGCCATTGACTGCTGTTGAAGGACGCCGACTACGAGGGTCATCGTCAATGTTTTCACGGCCTTCACGACCGTTTGTGCCACTCATAAACTTGACTTTTCTTCATCGCCTCTTCAACAATAAGCTTGAATAAATAATTTAAGGGTCTCACTAGAAGGCTTTTCCTTTAAGTAAAACACATTCACAAACTGTTAATAAAATGATATTTTTCAATGCTGGTACACGACCGACAGTAACTGACAACGTAGACTTGCAGGCACACGAAAATTGCCAATGCTGCACTACGGCCCGTCAGCTATACATCCACTACTGAACCGATATGCCCTCCACAGGAGTCGTACCAACTACTTCAAGGTGAATGTCCCACTAGCGATCGCGCTAAATGTCAGAAATGTATTCCAAGAATTTGTTTACTGTTATATGTAAAACGTGTATTTTCAAGGGTCAGCATTTGGTGGCACTATTTATATGAGCAGCAGAACTAACTAAAACAGGTATTGAGTAACAAATGACAAAATGGTAAATGAGTAACTAAAACAATTCTTACCGTATACACGCCATAAAGTAGTCCTACGGCCACCAATACTTGCAAGCACGCATAGATAATGCTGGACCAGGAACCATCGGCGGTTGCTGAAAAGTTAGAATGAGTAAAATAATAATAAATATTTAGTAAAATTACATAACTAATGCTTAGATTAGTTCTAACTAATTGTTAACTTAGTTATAAACTCAACATTATTGTAAATATAGGCCTATTAATTTATTACACGTTTTGCCTTCATATTGTACAAAATGACACGTTGATATTGCCAGAAATATAAAGTAATTTACAAACCTAAACGAAGGTTTAGGTGCATAACGACAAAACTATTATAAAAGCATTAATTATATGTTTTTTGAATAATATAAAAAGAGCTATACAGTTTACGCAAACGGCTGTAATAAAATGTCATAAACTATTTGTCGTCTAACCGAAGAATTTTAGCTGCAAATGTAAACATTATGTCATCGACTCTTGCAGATTATATTGTCGATATCAAAAATAGTTGACGCCTCACAACCCATACATTTAAACGTTATGAGTCATGTTGATAAAAGTTAAGTAGTGGTACTTATTTCAGATATATCAATAAAATTACTTACAATCTAGTTCACTTTGTTGTCCTGTAGACCTCGTTGTAATGTTGGCAGCTACGTTTAAAATTCCAAACACCTAAACACTTTTACATGTAAGTTTTATGACAAAAATAATATTTATAAGTAGCCTAATTAAACATAAATTAAAATCATAGTATGCCCTGCCAGCTGACATGTCTTACTTTGATGTAGTACTTAAAGTACTAGAGATGAGCCAAACCCCAGAGTTTTTGCTGGTTTAAAAATTCTATTGGAACACAAAAAAGGCTATCTGTAATATCTTGGCTTACGCCTTGTAAATGTAATTAATCAGCTGACTTTTAAAATAAGTTTGATTATTATTTTTGTTCTTTTTTGTTTTTCTGATGCTGAGCTAATACAATGTTTTTTTTTATGTCCCTGAGTTTTTATATTTTATTAGTGATTTTACACTATCCAAAACCATTTTATACATCTCGTTCTAGTAATGAATTAAAAATGCCTCTAAAGAAATGAGCATGGTTTTGCAACGTGAGTGAATGGAACAAACAAATTTGTAAAAGTAAAACGTCACTCCTTTCATACCAAACACACCAAGTTAGGTTAGTTTAAGTTAAAAACCAAACATTTCAAACTAAAGTAAACAATTAAATGTACCAATCAGCTAACCTAACCTAAAATAATCTGGTATCGTGGATATAACAGAAAACCCCCTGCTGAGCTCGGTGTAACATGAGAGTACAAAAAAACCTACAAGAATTCAAAACCTAACTAAATATTACCCAAACCAAAGTGAAATTAAAATATAAAAAATAAAAACTATGCATAGCAGTCTTTTAAAATCGAAAACAAATACAATCGTTTTAATTGGTTAATAGGTTCAGCAGTTTCAACCATTGTTATAGTCTGACTTTCACTCATGAATCTCAATAATAGTACGTAATGTATGGTTAGGCTAGTAATCATTGACACCAAGTTGTATTGTCCAAATGCATATGTTGTGCATTTGCAAATGATCAGGTCATAAGCTATTAAACAATTATGTACTAACCTGTATAAAAACAATTGCTCATGGGAAATCATTCCTTTTGTTTTTAATTGTTATTTACGACAAACTTAGTGTCAATTGCAATAAGTAATGTGTAAAACAAGGCTAGAACCTAGGGTCGTAGAATGTGAAAGTGGGACATAAAAAAGTGCTTATTGCACGTAACAGCAGTTATGTTATGTTTATTAATGTATGTGATATATCATATGGTGATATAATATTACGCAGAGTTATATGATGTATAATGTAAAATATTGTTTTAGCGGTTGTTACGAATTTATCAAATGATTTCGTTAGATTTATGTTGCAATTATGAGTACAAAACTTAGACATTTAAGATGCACATAGTGATATGTCGAAAAAAGAAAGTTGTCTGTGGAAAAAAACCTCGTACGTAATTCAGTGGTATTTTAAACATTAGTACTATGAGAAAAATGATCAACAACTATAATGGATATTTATACACAAAAAGCTTTACGTAAATTTAGTTGTGTAAGATATTTTATAAATATTTAAAAATATTACCGTATGAAACCATCCTATGATCAGAGTCCCTGTCCGTACTGAGAAGCAGAAACAGCAGTTCGACGTTGTTACCATTTTAGAATATGATTACTGTAACATTAAGAAACATAGTTTATTATAGACATATCAATGAGCTATAATGAATATCTAAAAAAACAAAAATCTTTACATAAACTACTATATACATAAGCTACTCAATACATAAAATACTCTATGAAAACTTAAACCACATAACAAATATTGTTAATACGTTTTTCAATGAAAATCATTATACAGCAACAAAAAAAAATTGTTATGCAAATAACTGATGGACCACCTTCTACGTATAAATAAGTATACAGTAATGATCTTAAAATAATCCCGACTCTGAACTATTTGAAGATTCTCAATAGAAGGTTTTGGAAATGCTAAGAAAATTACACATTTAGTTCCAAACGGAAAACAAACTAATGTTTGTAGGCCTAATTATATTGACATGACTCTTCCACTTATCAGAAGTAATGTATTAGTATTTCGGGTAGAATGAGCTAATAATCTGAAATCTAAAAAATGAGACTAGAAAATGTGTTTAAGGCTAGACTTTGTGCAGTTCTAAAAACGGCGTAATTCAACCTTTGGGGTTGGTGGAATGAATTAGACACCCTAATTCTAAATATTATATACAGAGCATTCTATGAGCTCTTAAATTTGGTACCTTTGCCAATCAAACTTGAAGGAAAGTTACTGGAATGTACGATTATGAAACTACAAACTGAGGGTTGAGTCAATGTAAACAAACCATTAGTTTCTAAAATTAGTCATTTGCCATCTAAATTGGTATTTCATAGGCCAGTAAGATAGCAGTTTCCTAGCTAAAATGGGTCATTATGCAATAGACAATGTATTTACGGAAAATATTTACAAAGGAAACGCTAGAAATACAAAGCGTTGGTTCCATGGTCGAAGCTTCAAAAGGCTTTGCTGCAGTAATATTTATAAAACATAATGACAAAAAGTGAAAATGTAATCTATACAACCATAGGGGTCTAGTATTAAAAATCAACCCTTTAACAGTAAATTTCAACTTTACAGCAAACATTTGTATTATATTACTTACCTTCTCATAAATTTTAGTGCGACACCATACAAGTTTCCCGGGTTACCGTAATAGCTTTTTACGCAACGTTCGCGTAATAGTCTTTACGACATATGTAGACATTTAAGATACGAGCTTTGGCGAGTGCTTTAAAAACTTTGACGAGTGTCGTTAAGACTATTTACCCGAAATGCTTACTCTATTTTATCTACGACAGTTTTAATAACAATCACTACTCATAACTTCAAAAAGATGTTATAATTTACTTTATAACCTCTCGTTGCCACTGACAGTGATGCTCATTCGTCTGGTAAACACTAATTTTCGGTACTAGTAACGTAATATACTAAGTTAAGCCACAAAAATAATGTAAATATTCCCATTTCGTCTAAAAAAGTATAACCGGCTGTTCCCTTAATTATCTGTGCACTTTCTAAAGTATTCATGTGTTCATATGAAAACAATTTTGTCCATAAGTATAACATGGGAACTTTAAAAGCCACTGGGGCAGAGCCCTGATGGCATTTCATGAAAACGCGTTTTATTGCAAATCTAGAGGTTTATTGGAACCTCAATGCCAACTCCTTAGTTTTTGGGACTTGTAGTTTTTCAGACATAGTAATCTTTGATTCTGTGAGAGATATTTGACTTTTATAAGTGAAGACATATAACATTATACATTTATAACATTTGAACATGCATTCCTAATTGCAATTAAAAAATATCAGAAATGTTTTACCACTTGCATTTTACAAAATAGAAGCCTACTTAACAGTTAAATTACTTACGTGAATTACTTATTTTTATACCTACTTGGTTGAAGAATTCCTAGTATCACGTCTTTCACGCACTACGTTCCTGCTAGTACTGAAGGTAAGTGTCAGCTGAGCATTATCAGGCACTAGCACTCATCAGTCGGTGTCATTATCTTTGAAAGCTATAATTGCGACACTTTGTTGACTTTCTGATATGAACGTCATAGCTAGCCATAGCTAGTTGTAGGTGATTCATGGTGTTAGAGTTTGATTGATTGCACTGAATATATAATATGTAATTGGTTTACCTAATATTATATATTTTCTACTAATAACATTTACCTCAATGTATAATATAAAAGGAATGTTAAGTCATTTGGAATTGCAACTAATAAGGAAATATTTAAATGTAAACTAGTAAGAGCCAAACTTATTTGTTAATTAATGAATAATTCAAACTGAATAGCATAAAATTACAAGGAATGTCAACTTATCTTTGTTCAACAGTTCAAGTTCGTAATTTTAACCGCTATTTTGTCTAGGATAAACAACTTTGATCAGATTTGCGGCACTCTCTTCTCCGATTGTTTGCGTCCTACCTCTATTATAGGACCCTAGGCTCTATTCTGGGTTCGTTTAACATATTATTTCATACTAGGACTAGAGGGTTGCAGCATTATCACTTGGATATAATCTATTGGTGATTGGTGGGAATTTCACCCGTGACATCAGAGACGGAAGGGCCACACTTTACCACCAGACCAGCCCACTTTTCTCGTGTTAACAGAAACTATTCCCTCCTTTTCAGATCAACTTTCAACTCCTTGTGGACGCCTGTTATACATTTTAGGTTACAACCTAAATCCTATTTTCTAATAACTAAATATTTGATTTGGGAGCAAACATTTAGAATTAATAACTTGCTTAAAAATGCACCCTAATTTGTTTCTTGATTTTTTTAACCTGAATAATCACAACAATTAACGTTTTACATTTTTATTTTGTTTTAAGTTCGTAGTGATTTCTCATTATTATTTTTGATAAGGTTCCGTAGGGAGTCAAAGAAATCACAAGGCGTATTTTTAATACGAAACGTGTTTTAATCACAAATAAAACACACATTTTATTATACAGTATACAAAACAAACTGATATGATAAAAGACTAAACGAATTGATGTGTATACAATTATAGGTTGATTACAACAGTTATAAGTTTTATCGTTATTATTATTATTTTATAAAAAACAATTCATACAAACACAAAAGAATATATACATATATACTAGAATTGTTTCATAAAGGTGTGTATTAGACCCTGAGGGTGTACTGATGTGTGTACTGAGCTATTTTGGATTCTGATAACGATTTTAACCAATAAAATTACTATTGTGGTGGTTTAAATGTCGTGTTCATTTAAAATCGGCTTATAAAAATATACGAAAAATAATTCCAGCAGGGACAGACCTTTTACAGAGGTGGACAATTATAATGCAACTAAAACTTTATTGAAAGGAAAACGTTTGATTCGTTAGGTTTCTATAAGTTGTGGATTTTATATTGTAAGCAGTAATTGTATAGGTTTGCTGATTAATATGCAACCAAAGATCTCCGGAAAATTGTTCATAGTATACAACAACGATAAGGTCACAAGTTTCACATATGATCTTCCATTTCCTTGTAGAAGCTGTAGACTACGACAACCAGATATGTTTGTATAACTGAAATCAAATTTGAACAACAATTTATACTACATATTAAAACTACTACACAATACAGTTCTTACGTAGACTCAAGCAGGAACACAGCGCGGCGTGTGTCGCGTTTAACACAGTGAAAAGGAATAATTCAGCCAGAGTATTCTGTTTACATTCAAGCTAAGCTAAGTATATAGGTTTGAAATAAAATTCAAATAATTAAACAAAAGATGCTATAAACAAAATAGACAGTTTGTTATTTATTAAATTTCTAGAGTACCAGCTGTTATATATAAATATATATATGGTTTACCATTGTTAGGTTAACATTATTAACCTCTTTTTAGTTAAATTTTTACTGCTTCGGGAATTATTCAACAAAATCGTTAAGGCCGAATAGCCTTATACACCGAAAGTACCCCAAAGATATTTTTCATAAATCCACAAACAAAATTTTAATACTAAATCCTTAATCAAAAGGCTTAATATTTCAAAAAAAGTTTATTTGGAAAACAATATTGGTGGCCAACATGGACAATTAATTACGATTGTTCGAGAAACTGTGTCCTGAAAATCGTTATCTTTGTCCAAAGCATGATTTTTTTAGATTCATAAACGTTAAAATTTTGGGAATCCTTCACGCAACATCCTAAATCAAACACCTGATACAATTTCAAAGCCTTATAACATTTTCCCTTTACATTTTTCTAAACCTTAAGTAACTTTTAGGATGAAAAATATGTGATCGATAGGTATGCCTATGATTCTATCTAACGATACTGAATGAAAGGAATATTTTTTTAATAATACTCACGCCACACGATAATACTAGAGCAGATCACCATAGCAACGTTACTAAAGGCTGCGTAGATGAGCAGAAGAATCACCATGATAATATTAATGACAATCAGTGCCGCTTGTAGAAAGACGTAAAAGTATACGGACTTTCTGTGGTGCTGGAAATAATTCAAATTAATTAACATAATATTTATGCAAACCTTAACTTAGGTAAAATAATTGGGTTTGTTTTAAACTTCATATTTATATTGTACGTTTTCTTGATAAATAATTTCATACGTCCAATTGGGGTCTAAAATAAATATTAGGACATTTGTATGTGCAATGAATGTATATAAACATGTTTGTGTTTTGGCTATGAAATAATGTAAAAAATTCCAAAATTTTTTCTTAGGCATATGTTTCTTGCTTATAAAAATTAAGTAAAATTAAGCTCACAAGGAATGAGAAATGTTATTCAGTGTAGTGATATCCGTGTTTTTAAGAAAAAATACATGGCATTCAAAAAGGTACACTATTTTCCACATAAACAGCCGCTTATTCGAAAAGAAATATTCCAAGATATTCCATTTTTATTATATGTAAAATCCAAGCAGTGTATTTTTCAATCCGCATTTGGCGGTACTATTATATGTGCAGCAGAACTAACAAAAACAGGTATTGAGGAACAAATGAAAAATGACAAATGAGTAACTAAGACAATTCTTACCGTATACACGCCATAAAGTAGACCTATGGCCACCAATACTTGCAAGCACCCTAAGATGATGTTGGACCAGGAACCAGCGGCGGTTGCTGAAAAGTTAGAATGACTCAAATATAATGACCTACCTAATTGTTAGCTTAGTTATAAACTCAACATCATTGTAAATATAATAATTTATTACAAGTTTTGCCTTCATATTGTACAATATGACACTTTTATATTGCCAGAAATATAAAGTAATTTACAAACCTAAACGAAGGTTTATGGTGCATAGCTACAAAAATGTTATAAATGCATTAATCATGTTTTTTTTATAATATAAAATCACTTCAAGAGCGATTCAGTAAACGGCTGTAACAAAATGCCATAAACTATTTGTCGTCTAAGCAAAGCATTTTAACTGCAAATGTACACATGGTGTCATCGACTTGCGGATTATACTGTCGATATCAAGAATAGTAGACGCCCCACAACACATACATTGAAAGGTTTTTTTTTTAAAGAGGTTGGCGGCCTCTTTTAATTTTGCATTTGCCCGTCCGCATAGACTAAGCGCCCGTGCGTGGATCGTTTGCAGCAAAGCAAGGAGTGAGCCGGTACAGTACAAAGGTGAACTGTACTGATAAAATGTTATCGGCAGTGACCAGGATCCGAACCCACGAAATCGCTGCCTTGGGCCCGAAGTCCGCGACGCTACTGAATGAGCCAGTTATGAGTCATGGTGACAAAAGTTAAGTAGTGGTACTTATTTTAAATATATCATTATAATTACTTACAAGCTAGTTCACTTTGTTGTCCAGAAGACCTCGCTGTAATGTTGGCAGCTACGTTTAAAATTCCGAACACCTGAAAACATTAAATTGTAAGTTTTACGGCAAAAAATAATATTTATAAGTAGCCTAATTAAACATAAATTACTGTTCAATTAAAATCATAGTATGCCCTGCCAGATGACATTCTTTGATGTAGTAATTAAAGTACTAGAGATGAGCCAAAGCTCACATTTTTTGCTAGTACAAAAACTCTATTGGAACACAAAAAAGCTATCCAAAACCATGTCATACAAGTAATGATTTAAAAATGCCTCTAAGGAAATGATTATTTTTCTTAAACGTGAGTCTATGGGGAAAAACAAATTTATAAAATTAAAACGTCACTCCTTTAATACCAAACACACCAGGTTAGGTTAGGTTAGGTTGAAACAACACATTTCAAATTAAAGTAAACAATTAAATGTACCAATAACCTAACCTAACCTAAAATAATCTACTGTGGTGTATAACAGAAACCCCCTGCTGTGGTTGGGGTAACAGGAGAGTACGAGAAACCCCTACAAGAATTCAAAACCTAACTGATTACCACAAACCAAAATTAAGTTAAAATAAAAATAAAAACTATACATAGCAGTATTTTAAAATCGAAAATAAATACAATCGTTTTAATTGGTTAATAGGTTAAGATGTTTCATTCCTTGTTATAGTCAGACTTTCACTCATGAATCTCAATAAGAGTGCGTAATGCATAGTTAGGCAAGTAATCATTGACACCAAGTTGTGTTGTCCAATTGATTGTGTATTTGACCGAAACAATCAAAAGTGCATCGGCGAATGCTTAGGTCATAAGCTATTAAACAATTATGTACTAACCTGTATAAAAACAATTGCTCATGGGAAATTATTCCTTTTGTTTGTAATTGTTATTTACGACAAACTTAGTGTCAATTGCAATAAGTAATGTGTAAAACAGGGCTAGAACCTAGGGTCTTAGATAGTGAAGGTGGGAAATGGAAAAAGAACCAATTGCACAAAACAGCAGTTAAGTTATGTGTATTAAGTTATGTGATGTATCATGCTGATAAATATTACATACACTATTGTTTTAGTGGTTGTTACGAATTGATCAAATGATTTCGTTAGCTTTATGTTGCAATCATGAGTACAAAACTTACATATTTAAGATACACATAGTAATATGTCGGAAAAATGAAGTTGTCTTTGAAAAAAACCTCGTCACTTAATTCAGTAACATTTTATACATTAGTACTAAGAGAAAAATGATCAACAACTATAATGGATATCTAAAAACACAAAAAGCTTCAGATAAATTTAGTTTTGTAAGATATTTTAGAAATATTTATATTTACCGTTTGAATCCATCCTATGATCAGAGTCCCTGTCCGCACTGAGAAGCAGAAACAGCAGTTCGACGTTGTTACCATTTTAGAGTATGATTACTGTAACATTAGAACACATTATTATAGATATATCAATGAACCCCAAAAATCTCATACAACAACAACACAAACATATCAATGAGCTCTGTGAAAATTTAAGCCACATAAAAAAATATTGTCAAACAGTTTTTCACTGATAAACGTTATACAGTAACAAAAAAATTGGTTATACAAATAACTGATGCAGCACCTTCTACGTATAAATAATATACAGTAATGATCTTTAAAAAATCCCCACTCTGAACTATTTGAAGATTCTTAATAGAAGGTATTGGAAATGCTAAGAAAATTACACATATAGTTTTAAACGGAAAACAAACTAATGTTTGTAGGCCTAATTATATTTACATGGCTTCTACTCTTCCACTTATCAGAAGTACTGTATAATTATTTCGGATAGAATGAGCTAATTAATCTGAGTTCTAAAAAATGAGACTAGAAAATTTGATTAAGCCTAAAAACAGTTCTAAAAACGGTGTAATTCAACCTTTGGGGTTGGTGGAATAAATTAAACACCCTAATTCTAAATATTTTATGCAGAGCATTCTATGAGCTCTTAAATTTGGTAACTTTGTTAATCAAACGGGAAACTTAGAACCAATCATACTTGAAGGAAAGTTACTGGAATGTAGGATTATGAAACTACAAACTGAGGGAAGAGTGAATGTAAACAAACCATTAGTTACTAAAATTAGTCATTTGCCATCTAAATTGGTATTTCATAGGCCAGTAAGATAGCAGTTTCCTAACTAAAATGGGTCATTATGCAATAGACAATGTATTTACGGAAAATATTTACAAAGGAAACGCTAGTAATACAAAGCGTTGGTTCTCCTATGGACAAGGCTTAAAAAGCCTTTGCTACAGTAATATTTAAAACATAATGACAAAAAGTGAAAATGTTATCTGTACAACCAATGTATAGGGGTCTAGTATTAAAAATCAATTCTTTAACAGTAAATTTCAACATTGCAGCACACATTTCTATTACTTACTTTATACTAATATATTTATTGACTGAATATATACACAAAAAGTAGAAGATATTTTAATACATTTTTGTGCAAAACCATTCGGTTCCCCTGGTTACCGTAATACCTTATTACGCAACGATCGCATAGGGACAGTCTTTATGACACAAGTCGAAATTTAAGATACAAGCCTTGGCGAGTGCCTTAAAAACTTCTACTAGTGTCGTTAACACTATTTACGTGAGGTGCGTCGACAGTGTTTTAATTACTACAAATCATTACTCATAACTTCTAGAAGAGGTCATATGCGATTTATTCACCATCGGCAAGTTTGGTTAGTTAGTTTAGGTTATGATAGTTTAATTTTATAATATATATTTTATAGCCTATATATATATATATATTTAAAAATATCGATTATCAATCAATATTTTCAATTCGATAGTTTCAATCGATGTTAGCATAGCCCAGTTAAGAAACTGTACCCTAAACAGCTGATAATTTGATTAATTAAATAAACTGTTACCTTGTTCAATATCATTTGATTCTTCTTATGACGACCGGTATCGTGACGACAGTTACATTATCAGGTCAATCCTCATAGAACGATTCGTTAAGTATACATAAAGTTTTTACCGAACACAAAACACTTAATATTTACAAAGTATTTACAGATAGAAACCGTCCCGATGCGTACACATTTACGTCGAGCCGGCCGCGACTGGAGTTACGTCGAGGGTCAAAGTGACGTCATCCGAATCAGCTGATCGGTGGTTTCTGTTTTCCTTTCTCTGTCTAATTTGATGACGTTTCAAACAACTCGTTCGCCTGACTGTTGATTTTGTCATTTAAAATATGTTTTGTTTCTATTTTAAATGTCTTATATATTTCAATATTGTCTAGAGCTGTTGTTTTGACTTTATTGTTGCATGTGTGAATTACTGTCATATTTTCTTCGATTTTTAAATAGTTTTAGTTGCTACTGACTAGATTTTATCCGTAATTAGACTCTTGTATGTTGGTGTTCTTTGGTAAATGTTGCAATAAGGTGTGGCTTCGCTCACGAAAATTTTAATTAAAAAGTTAAATGTTAGATTTTATAGGCCAAAAAAATTATTCGACAAAAACATATTAGGCCTAAATGCAATTAGTTAATATAGTTAAGCTTGTGTGCCTAAAGAAGTTAGAACTAAGGGAAATCATTCTTTATTTACAAAATTTACTGCCCTTCCACCAAGAGCTTCGGTCTCCTCACTCTGAAACCACCTACAAAATATGTTTTTGACGAGGATACTATTCCCGCTGTATCTCTTTTCAGTTAGGTATAAATGCTTAAACCTAATTTTCCAATAGGACGGTTAGTTCTCCTATAACTTTATTTTAAAGTAGTATGTATCTTAAAATAACGTAAAATCTAAAAATCTTGCAGGATGTTTTATTGTGGTTCTCAAAGCCATCAAAGGATCTAAACAATTACAGGTCTACAGGATATACAGTGTTTATTATGAAGTTTTTGTGTGTGTGAATGTACATATACAATCGAAATACCTCAAATAAAAAGTAAAAGTCACTATAAACAATTTATATCATACATTTATCTACAAAAAAAAGAAAAAAAAAACACGTTTGAAATATTCTTCAACATTAAGCAAATGCCCTATTGTGGTATTGGCATCATCCTATATCTAGCTAGGAATGGACGGGATTGTACCTTTCAAACACTTCTGACCTTCTCTCTGGAAAACCAACTATATTTAAATAGTTATTAAGTGATTGGAGAAGGCAAGTGCCATTCCTTCAAATAATACATTAAACTCGTAAGCAAATAATTGTTCCTTTCATATTGACATTCTGAACACATAAAATGATATACTGTTATTAAATTACAGAGAACACACCAATCTTCAAAACCACAACGGATGAGGAGGGCCTCACCACATTCAGAATTGTTTATGAATCTAAATTTAAAAATTTGTTACGTAGTAAAACACTTTTTGTAGACACAAAGATAATGTAAATATTCTCATTTCATCCAAAAAAGTATATCCAGCTGTTCCCTTCATTAATTGTGCGATTTCAAAAGTATTCATTTGTTCAAATGAAAACAAACCTTTTCCCAATAAGTATAACATGGGAACTTTAAATGCCACTGAGGAAGAGCCCTGGTGGCATTTAGTGAAAATGCATCTTATTTCACACCTAGATATTGATTGGAACCTCCTTGCCGACTCCTGAGTTTTTGTGACTTGAAGTTTTTTCGGATATAGTGATCAGTAAGTCAGTGAGGGCTATTTTGCTTTTATAAGTGAAGATTGATAACTTTATACATTTATAACATTTGAACTTAAATTCCTAATTGCAATTAAAAGAAATATCAGACAAATTTTACCACATGTATTTAACAACATAGTATCCTACTTAACAGACTTACGTGAATTACTTATTTCTATACCTACTTGTTAAAGAATCCCTAGTTGAGCGGAGCGAGCGAAGCTTACGTCTTTCACGCACTACGTTCCTGCTAGTACTGAAAGTAAGGGTCAGCTGAGCATTATCAGGCACTAGCACTCATCAGCCGGTGTCATTATCTTTGAAAGCTAATTGGGACACTGTTGTCTTTCTGATATGAACGTCATAGTTTAAGTGATTCATGATGTTAGAGTTTGATTGATTACATTGTATATATAATATGTAATTGGTTTACCTAATATTATATATTTTCTACTAATTACATTTAACTCAATGTATAATATAAAACGAATGTTAAGTCATTTGGAATTGCAACTAATAAGGAAATATTTAAATGTAAACTAGTAAGAGCCAAACCTATTTGTTAAGTAATGAATAATTCAAACTGAATAGCCTAAAACTACAAGGAATGTCAACTTATCTTTGTCCAACAGTTCAAGTTCGTAATTTTAAACCGCCATTTTGTCAAGGATAAACAACTTTGATCAGATAGGTGGCACTCTCTTCATAGATTTTGTTGCGTCCCACCTTTATTATAGGACCCCAGGCTCTATCTCGGGTTCGTTTAACATATTATTTCATACTAGGACTAGAGGGTTGCAGCATTGACACTTGGATAAAATCTATTGGTGATTGGTGGGAATTTCACCCAAGACATCGGGGACGGAAGGACTACACTTTACCACTAGACCAGCCCACTTGTCTCGTGTTAACAGAAACTATTCCCTCCTTTTCAGATCAACTTCCGACTCCTTGTGGACCTTCCACAGAAAGATATAAAAACTATTGCCTTGTTTAAGTAAATTTTAATACTTCCATTGTATTCAGTGGTTAAAAAATTAATCCATGCAATGCCTGCGTATAAAAGTAATTTGTATGTAATGTAGCAAGTTAAACTAAAATATTATTGTTTAATGTGTTTTCATGATTGCATTTGTCATAGCGTAATTGATGGTTAGATCAATACATTGTCCAAATTTCAAATATAATAATCGCTGTCAAACCAATTATTATTATTGACTTTCTTTATAGCTTGAAGATAGGGATCTCTGGTTGTGAAATACTATTACTTCACAAGCTTAATATTTGTACAGTGTAATAAAGTACAAGCTATAAACGTTTCTTAGTACAATACAGTTAATCTCATACACCATTTTCTGAATTAACATTGTTAACATGTCAAACAGTAGGGTAATAAAACTACACAAAAAAGTTAAATATGGTGTTGCAGTTATTTTTTATTTCAGACAACTATATCTTCGTCCTCAGAACTTTCAATTGACGAGTTTCGCAGTTGAAGCATTCGTATCTCTTGAGTGTATTTGCAAAATATCACTGAAGCGAACACGAAAACAACTGCAAATAAGACAAATCAGGAATAGTAAAATTCAAAATGAGTCATTCATGATTTTTTGGTAAGTACCCCTCCTAACTCAAAACTATGTCAAAATAAAATTGCCATCTTTAAAATGTGATCTCGATCTCATGAATGTTGTAGATTTATTACCTACGTTTTTCTTACTCAATTTGGTAATAAAAAATTGGGGTTAATAAAATGGTAATTTCCAAAAAATGATAAGCATACCTGTTAAGGAGTAATGACCACCTTTTAACGTGTAAGTTGTGTCTGCTAAAACTATTGAAAAAAATTTAATAATGAATATAAGATGTTAGAGCAAATTTTAGCCAATCATAGCTTTAACCCTTTTATAAAATTTTCCATTGACATAAGTAATTAATTGTTTCCACACAAACATCGTGACCAGAATTTAATATTAAGTTATATTAAGACCGGGGTTTAATATTAAGGTAGACCTACTGTGAATACCTAATTGATACAATATTTTACCTAATGAATTTAAATCACCAATGAAACGAAACCATTCAGCTGTCATATTTTCTGTCAGTGCTTCGTTCATTGTGAAGAGTAAAACAGTGAAAACCATGCGACATAACGTCAATATTGAAAATAGAGATATCGTTCCCTTTAACATGAATTGACATTCCTGAAATAAAATACTAATTAACACAATTTCAATTCTAACAAAATTTTTTAGTACGATTCTTATGTCTCTTAACTAATTTAATACTTTTGCAGAAGTATCTTGGTATTCAATTCATTCAAAACATTATATATGTGGTTTTGTGTATTATTATTTGTTAATTTCCCCGATTATGTAAGTTAATAACTCCTTTTTGAATCACGTACAAATCAAAATGTAAAAAAAAATTGCAACCTATTTTATAATCCCTTTATTTTTTACCATAGACATAAATTATTTTTCTTTAATATCAAATTTCTTTATATATTTAATAGCAAAAATATATATTATATTTTTCATAAACCGCAATTTTAATCAATCAATTTATCAATCATTGAGATACAGATGTCATATACACTACAAAAAATCTGTTCAAAATATTATTAGTCAAGGATGAGTGTAGAATGCGGAGAGATGATCTTTGTAGCTTTGTAACTAACTAAGATCAGCTGTTTCATTAGCCAGTATAATTTATTTCAATAACGATCAGGAACAGCTGGCCCTAGTTTCGAACCATCAAAAAACTGACTTTTCTCCGGATCGAACTGGTGACCTTTTGATTGAAATCACTATAACCTCATGTCTAAACCAACCAGTTAATGAAATAAATTACACATATATATGTATATAACAAGGCGAATAAATAAAAACTTCTTACCCTCCATGATTTTACAATGATCAAGACACAAACCAAAATAAAGAGACAACTTGTCAAATTGTCAGCAAAGAAAACTGAAACAGAAAATCTTAAACTGAAATATGAAATTCTATTAGATTTATCTTTGTTGTTGTTGCCTGCATTATTGTATGTATAATTTTTGTGTTCCTCATATTATTTCAGAACTTGACAACAACAACAAAGATAAAATTCAAAATAATTCAAGCTGTTTCAACAAAACATAATAAGAAATAGAATTTTTACTGTGCACTGTACTAGCTTTTAAACTTACCACCCATTGGTTACTGGCATTAATTAGAAACATATTAAAAACATTTTATGAGGAAATAAGTTTTATTGTGAAATAAGAAAATTTAACACAAAAAGCGTGAAGAATCAGTTTTTTTGAATTTATATATAAATGAATAGTTAGTTGGTGTAGTCATGTATATTTATATAAGCAGGTTCTAGATTACTGCACATTAGTATTTCAATGTAAATGGTGTTTAAACTGTATTGAAGCATGTAAATATAATAAAATAAAATTAGTATTCCAAATAATTTTTGTTGCTCAACCCTCTTCGGCAAGTGAGTTAAGTCTTGAGATATTAAATTCCTTAAATAACAAGGAATAAAATGTCTTCCAAAGCCTACCTTTAATAAGAAAAAGTTAATGTTAAGTTAGTGTTTAAAGTATTATTATGTTAACAAATAACGTTTAAAGGTTTATTTCGTGAAGTATACATGTAACTATATATGATAAAAATCGAATTTGAAAGTATAAAGTTACTTATTATTGTGTTTTATAAGATGCTATAAAAATGTTTTGTGTATCAGATGATTTTTAAATTACTTTTTTCTAAAGTAGAAGTACATAAGCTAATCAATGAGTAAACACTACACTACAGTTATACACTATACTTACCAATAGTATAGGTCTCATTCCATATTTCAAGGTCACGATTTAGTAATACTTGTATACCTGAGGCTATGATTTTAAACGAATTCAGGACCTGAAAGTATGATTTATAAAATACAAGAATGTAATGTTGAAAACAATATTAGAAAGTTGTACGTATGTTATACCTTCTAACTTTACATTAATTTTACAAAGCAAATTACTGTAAACAAATATTGGTCTACCACCCTTTATGTTAATGTGCAATATAAAGCATATCTCATTACTGGGATTGTTATAATAAATTGTTAGGACATTTTTGAATGATTGTACAAAATATCACAATCACTGTTTACATTTTTGATTTCAGCCACTGTATAAAAAAAGGGAGTTTCATATAGTTTTTAAGTCACCATGCTTTTGGGTTTATTCAGTTTATAAACCACACGGAGTGATCAAAAATATTAAACCATACAACTGCCAACTAAAACTTAAGTATTATTAGATTATATTTTGGATATGTAAACGTTTAGTTTGGTTGTTATAGGGCTTAAAATAATAAGTAATGGTATTTTAGTATTTAAATCTTCTAGCTGTTAAAATGATTAATGAAGAATTTTACCAACATTAAACTTATAAATTAATTTCCTCATATGTAATATTATGATAGTACCTATTGTCTACTTTCATTTTTTTTCCAAAGCTTAACTAAAGGTATTTTAATCTTATCAAATTGCTAGTTTGTTAGTTTTGTCAATAATACAACTTTAAAGTAAAGTTAACTTACAATGATGCAAATACATAAAGACACACTAGTGGCGAAGAGGGAATACGAACCACCACAGCAAGTTGGCTCGCACTGGGGAAGCATACACATCTGGACAGTAATAATATGTTAATATAATAAATTTTAAACACTTTGGTATATACAAATAAAAATAATCTGCATTATTGCAGCAAAACATACCACATAACTTTAAAGACAAAGAGAGAGAGCTTAGATTGTAACAGAAGAGGTACCTACTCAACATTTTATCTTTAAACGTACCTACTAATCTTACAATATGTGTTAATGACACATTTATTGTTATATTGTATCATGGCTAAACAAATAGTGAATATTGTCAAAGTAATTTATTATCGTAATAGTGTTTCTTATCACAGCCACTTCTTACCTTTATGACGTATTTATTTGAAATTTTCTATTAATATATCAAAACTTTTTTGTTAAAGCAGTGTTGCTAAGATTCAGAAAAAGTTAGTGTTAAATGGTTTGAACTATATTTTAAATCTCAGTACTCTTCAATATAAATTATATACCTAGTAGGTTGTCTTCATCAGGTAAGCTTCGACATCATCTTAAGGGGTCTGCAGTGTTTCTAAACCTTTTTAGGTATTTATACATCCATATGGGCAAGTTATTAATGATTTACTCATCAATCACAAACGGCCGTTTCACATTAAAATTAATATAGGGTGAACATAAAAGAAGTGAACAACTTTGAACATCAATTTGTCGGAAACTACGGGTCCGACATCGCTGCGGTTGGTACCAGCGAGTCGGAAAACTCCTTAAGTTTTGTCTCAAACAGCTGATTGCTGTCGTATAGTAATAAAATAGTTTTTTTCTGCCTTTAAACCCTTTATAATTATTTATCAATGAAATTTTTTCAGGTTTGCACAGTTTATAAAATAATGAAGCCAGTTTTAACCCAGTTCTGCTGCACAACTCCTCTTAGATCAGGCTGCAAAGTGATTGGTGCTTTTCTAATCGTAAGTAAACGACTCAAACTGATTACCTAAATACGTTAATTATATTTTACTGACAAAATTGTAATGAAAATAGAGTTTCTGGTACTCTTTGCTGTATTTACAGTAAAAAATAAAATAAAAAATAACACCTAACATAAATTGACGGCTTGGTCAACTGGGGGAAAATAAGAGAAACAAAGACCTTTAAATCGTAAAACTGTGCCAGCAAAGTATTTATTGATAATTACGAAGTAGTATATTCTAATACGAGGTAAAGGCTAGTTTACTGGCACTGTACTTAAACTCTATTATGCCTAATAGAGTGCAGTTTTTGGTAACTCCATAAAAATAAGAAGAATCTTTTGATAAGGGGGGTTATTTGAAATAACAGATGGTGCAACGATGCATGTAAGAGGAGTGTTTGTTTAATGAGTGGATGAAACTTGCATATTATTCGTATTTGTAAAAATCTATAAAAAAAAAAAAAAACACATTCATAAAAACAAAACCTTTACTCATTATTTCATTCATAAGCAATATATACAAAAGATTTTGTCAACCCGATGAATAATCATCCAAATATTATGATCCTAAATCGCTGCTTCAGTTTCTTTTTGAAAACTCTTTCTATAGCAGTAGCGAGTCTTTGACTGTTAAACGGGGTGGAGCGTAAAAAGATGGTGTCAAAACATGAACAATAATGCGAATAAAAAGGGTTGGGAGTTTATAAATATAATACTTTCGTCGCTGTTAATTTTTGATAGACCTTAAGTTTTGAAATCTCCTTTTTGATACTATTGTTTGCAAAGTTATATGAAATGAATTCCTTACTTTGTATATATTGTACACACTGCATTATATAAATAAATTACCTATTTCCCTTAATTACTAGATTATTTGCTTTCTATTGGGGTTTCGTTGTTGAATTAAATAAAAAAAAACCTATTAAAACCCATATTGGTGGGTTTTAATAATAGTAATTAGTAGAGAAATGTGTCTTTGGTAAAAAATATATCATTGTTAATTTAGATATCTGCGACATTGTATTTGGGCCGGCATTTTACTCAGCATCAACCAATTGAGTCAGACGAAAGAGTTGCACAATTTCTTAAACTAGGTGAGTATAACTGCAAAAAAATAATTTTCTCCATTAATAATAGTAAAACTTCTTATACTGCTCTAGCTTAGGTTTTAGAGCCGTCGGTTTACGGAACTGTGAAGATGGTTGATACGGTGGTGGCAGAATGTTCGTTCCTTATGTATTAACAAGTTAAAAAAATAATGGAAAACATATATAATCAGCTTTTATAGTAGCATGTCTCAGAATATTCAATAAAATTAATAGATCAGGACATCAGATTAGAGTTGGACGAATTATTATAGAATTAAAAGAAATACGGTACTTAATAAATATGACCTAAATAAATAGGCCCATTAGTATCTTCATTATTAAATATCAAATTCTTCATTAAAATATAGCACAACAATTAGTTATCATAGACTTAAGCTTCCTTGACATTCCTTTATATTTATTTTCACTATATTTTTTTATATAGTACGAACATGAGTTACCATTGGGTTAATAGAAAAGTAAAAAAAAAAAAAAACAGTACGGTAGGGAAATTACCTCTTTAAACCTTTTGGTACAATAGAAGAACCCCATTGCAATTCTTAAAATAAACTTAAAGAATATACAATGCACTTTTTTGATTAGATAAAAAAACTTTAGGGAAATTATCATTTTAAACTTTGTGGTACAATAGAAGAAACCCCAGTGGTGCATTTTTGATAATAAACTTAAAGAATATACAATGCACTTTTTTGATTGGATAAAAAAAACTGTCAAACTTTATTTTACACACTAACTATTATCATTGACACTCTAACATGTCGCACATTAGATGTCGCATTTTATTTTGGCAGGCTTTTTAGACCTATTCTCTTGAAAAAAAAAGGTTAGCCAATTATAATAATGAATTAGTATAGCTTTATTAAATTCCTTGTCATTATCTTTTAATACATGGTAAAACAAGAACTTTATAATCTGTTTTAGTTTCCACAATCTCTGTGGCTGGATCTGTATGCAGTTACATCATTGGAATCATCCTATTGGTCGGAGTTTACAAGGTAAATAGTAAACACCCTAAATATGATTCGTGAGTTCTAATGCACTAACTGTAATTCCTTCAAGTCATTACTTTGAAAAGCTAAACAATTAATTAGAAACTCTACTTTTATTTTGCAGGGTTGGTACGTTACAGGATAAAACCGGTTTCATTGTTCTATTTAGCGCACACAAGTTTCCAATTTAATTTAATATATATATAAATTTTTTTAGGTTAAGTTATGTGGAATATTTAACACTACTTGCTTTAATCCTATTCTTCAACAAGGATGAATATTTAGGTCTAACAACGAAAGAGAAGATTACGTAAATGATATGTAAAAAAAGTTCGACATAAACTATAACTATAGAAAAAAATAATATACATGAAAATCATTTTCTAGAATATTAAAACAATTTTGAATTGTTAACAACGTAGTTGTCTGCGAATGTCAACTTACTTTTTTTTCTGCTAGATATACCTTAATCAACTCAAAATTGTTATACATCCAAGAGACGTAGCCCGAGGGAATTTTAACGACATGGACATAAAAAAAAAAACATGGACATGTGCTGGCTGGGTATGTATGTGATCTACCCTTAAAAGTCTTATTATATCAGTAGGTCTACGTGCCCGGAATGACACACATCAAATTTTTCATCTTTGCATCATAATGGATCACCACGACATTTACCGATTTTTTTTTACAGGATGTGCTGCAAATGTTACTTGGGTCTTCGGTATTGTTGTTCCTGTATGCAGTCAGTCTTCTTGCAGTTGCTGGTTATATGTTATACATTTGTCATGCGATATATTTTATCACTCTGACGATTTATGAATGTAAGTAATATTGAATATATTTGTTTTAGATATTTAGCGTTTAAAGCACACATTTGCAAAAGGGAAGCTTAAAAAAGTGAGGTTGGCAAAATCACTGATTCAGGTTGCCTTATCAACAGTCATAATTAATTGATGGAAAATTATTTAAATTTTCAAATAGTATGCATTGCGAACTTAAATTTTATCTGTTAGTATTTTCTAAACTCGTATGCACTTTAGAAAATATACTTAATATAAATAGACGAATACAAATTTTTTCACTATAACCAAAGTAGGCCTAGTGATATATTCTCTGAACCTAATGTGGCTCAACAACATTTTCAGTGGTGAACCTTTACTTCGCAATCGTTGTGTTCAGTTATTACCTAGAGAGAAAGGAAGAGACGCAGTTTTTGACAACTTTGGATGGACCAATGAGGTCTGCACTTGAACGACAAAGGGACCAAGCTAAAGAACAAGGTGGTCCCGACCCTATGAGGGCAGCTCTCATGAAATATAGAACCGATATTAAAGAAGAAAAAAGAAAGGAAAATCAACTAAATCAAGCAGGCTCCTCTCAGCCAACTACAGGGAATTAAAATTAAATTACAAATGTCATAAGATATTAAAAATTGAAAATATATCGACCGAAATGTTTTGTACTATTATTGTTTATTTTTTTCACAGTAAACTATAAATAAAGTACAATAAATTTCGTGAAAATGGGCTTATTCAAAGTTTTAAGAACATTGATTTTAAACGTTACACCATTAAAGGACACACAGTTGTATTTTAGTTACTTGACATTATTCAAGTAAAATATTTAAAATGATCCAGATTTTCTGAAAGTAGAAGATTGAATTTTAATGAAGATATCACTAAAATGCAATAAAATTCGTCCTCATTCAAGACTGGCGTATAGTAGAAATACATGCAATTTTGATGATAAGCGTCACTATTACCGTACCAAAGGTAATTTAGTCTACTATAACACTAGATATAGAAATAATTAGTAGTTAGATGGAAGTCACCTTCCTCAAGTGTTCAAGTAATGATCAGTTGTTCAAAGAAATTTAATTTTTTACATCATAAGCTATACAAAAAGAATTATGGAAAAATTTGTTAGGAATTTGTAGACAACGCCATGACATATCGTGAGGGTTTTAGCTAACACTGGGAAATAGTTTATTTTGGGAATATATAGCTCGAAATTTTGTTTATCTCAATAGCAAGCTTTAAAATACACGAGCACCTATGGGAACCGACAGTTTTTAGTTGTTGATTTAAATTTTTAGAGTAGTAACTACCATAACCACGGTCATATAGTGACGCCTTCAACAGCTGATGGGTTTGCATTACTCTACTGTTGTGCGGACCTGCGTTGGAACTATTGAAGGAAGCAGACTATGTCTACAACTACGAAACGAGTTCCTATGATACGCAATGTTATACAAGGTGATCAGAGAGGCCCTTTACCTTTTCTAGGTACCTTAACTTGAATGCTTTCCACCTACGAATTTCAAACCCCACTTTGCTAAGCCACCAAACCTACATTATACAGTACATTAAATGTAGGACAAAGGATAATTTTTTTGCGTAACCTCTAAATATTCAACAACATACTCTCTCAAAATGCTTAAAACTTTTAATTGTAAATACAACTCACAGATTAAAAAATATACAACTGCTTTACTAGTTTTATTTAGAGTACACAGAAGTCTTGTTCGGCGTAGGCATTTGTGTGTTCGAAGGCAGCAGAGGGGTGTTTAAAGGAGGTGCTGAGGGAATTGTTGAAGGACCTTGGCCAGGATTTCTTCCTCCCTGAGGCTGGTTCATCGGTGTCGTGTTTTCATTTCCACCCCCAAGAGGGTACGTTACTTGTTGGTTGGTTTGGCTATTGTGGACAGTGATCAAGTTTAAATCGTTCGCAATATCCTCAATGAATTCCCCGTAGCTGTACCATACTGCGGCGAAGTACAGGAGGATTACTGCAATGAGAAGTAGTCGTTATGAAATGTACAATTCGTTAAACAAATTAAGACACAAGATTAAGACGGTGTTTGTACAGGATAATTGACTCCTGCTAAAAGGTTGGCAGGAAGACGCTACACTCCTAAGGCTACACAATACATCCCATTGATTTACAAAAGTATGAATTTAAGTAAAATACCTACTTGAAAAATATAAATTTATGATGAGAAAGAAATTAAGACAAAGACAACTTTGATTAGTTCTTTAGAGTATCCCTTGAGTTACCACAAGATTTTTTTTTCTCACTGTAAAATATGTAGATATTCTCTTATTGGTCGTAATAATTAACTACTGGCTTGGATGATTATTGTGTCTTTAGTAATTAATAGTCCTAACTACATTACCAGCTGATTTATGTCAATTAAAATAATTACTATAGCCAACAGACATCTTCACATCTTTGGTATAATATTATATTTTAATTATGTTGAGCTACTAAATCCACTAAAAGGAAAATTTCACTCAAACATTGAATTTGATTTAATAGGTAATAACTGATTGTTTCTAGATGTTTTAGGATTAATAAACTACATATACACTATATTTGACGTAAGAATCATCACAGTGCTACACAATACTTACTGTTGGATTCATCATGGTAAAGAAAATAAATGCTGTACAGTGTTTGTTTAGAATTTTAGTCTTTAACTGTCTATAAATAAAAGCAAAGAGTAAATCAACCTGTTACAATATTTTACCAAAATGCCAATAAGGTAATTACTTATGTCAAACGGTTGAACAACGTTGAACTCAATACTTATTAATATGTCTGGTTGCATTTTTAATACAATAAATCAGGTTATAATTTTAAGTTAATATTACTTACCTAAGGTTGTTATTTCAGGAAACCATTGATGCCTGACCCCACTAAATACTAATCCATATGCGATAAACTGCAAGGAATGTAGTATGGCCATAAACACTCCAACTACCTTGAGAACTATTGAGATTTTCTAAACAAACATAAAAGGTTTGGTAGAGTTGGAAAATATAGAACTATAATGCTGTTTAGAATTTATGATAACTACACTAAATAAATCTTAGTTACATGACAATCCTACGCAGGTCTACAATGTAGCAAAACTAAAATCGAATAGTTAAATATCCACCCATCATTTTAAGATTATGTAAATTCTAAGAAGTACTGACCACCTCAAATGTGTTTCCTAATAGGATCATGGCAATCAGATCAAGTAAATTTAAATTTTTAAAAATCAATACATTTTTCGTATTTTATTGTTCGGGAACAGAAAAAGTTTCTAGTTTTTGATGCTTCAATTTTGGTCACTTGTGAAATTCGTAAAAAGCACAATATTTTTCCATTTTGCATAAAATTACTCATTTAGTAACTGCGGTCTTGTATAGACCTAAATAATAAATAGTGCACAGTAATATAGCAGAATTTTCTTATACAAATATGTCTACATTTAAAAATGAAAAAATATACAGCTTTTACCTTGGTCGTAGCGTAAACAACTCCAATAGAGACCATAATGACAACTACAGCCACAAGAGCACGGAATATATAAACTGAAAACAATTAGTATATTATTGATTTTAGTTGGAAACATGTTGCTCATATCATAAAAGAAATAAAGTAGAGGATCGGTTTTATTACAATGGCTTTAGAATTCTGTTGATTTGCTTGAATCAGAATATTCATTTTATCTATTATGTTTTGATTGGACGTGAACGGACTGGATAACATCGAAGCAGTAACACGCGTCACTGCTCCGATCCCAGCTTTCAATAACAAAAATCACCGTCACGGTAAAATCATTCGCAGGAACATCATTTACTGTCTGTTTGGCAAATTGTTTCTCATTTGTTCGTGGGACACTTGGACACATTTTAAAAACGAAATTGTGACGAATTTCAAACTGGAGTGTGGTGTTTGTATACAGTCAAGAAACAATTCAATAAAGTATCACTTTTTTCTAGAGACACGATAATTTGTTTGTTTTTCCTATAAAAGACAAACTATACAAGCAAGAAATTAGAATATAACCTCATATACTTATAGTACTATCCAATAAAGGACGTTGATACATTTAAAATATCCTACACCGTGTTTAAAAGGGCTGAAATTAGGTTCCAATTGCAATATGTACTTTCTCAAACATTCTTCTTGTCTATATCTTGTAAAAGAGGACATATAAGTGAGAAATATCAATCAATCAATTTGTCCCTTAATGATAAAAACGACACTTAATTGAGGAATACATAACAGGCAAAAGCCAAAAGTACGTCTACTTTACCCAGTATCTTTATAAAGCATAAATATGTGAACTACATGTCTATTCTGGTTTGAACTTCAAAAAACGAGTTTCGATAAAAATTTTAAATGTGTGGGTGTGGAAAAGGCTCAGGAATTACTAGGAATTCGAAAGGTTGAAAACACTTTTATAGTTAAGTTGAACTATTAATTTGGCAAATAAATGTTAACTTCTAAAGTGGTTGTTAAAACGTATGCTGAATGATCGTGTAAAGACAAAAATCGTTCCTGTGGTAATTTAACGTAAAAGAACCTTAAAAGTCAGCCAAATTTATATGCAAATACAGTATTTTGGTTTCATACGTGTTAGTACTCTGCTCTTCTGCTCCTTGTTTTCGTCGTCTTCATTTTCCTCCTGTCCCAATAGATCGAATATCTCTTTGCATTCGAAAAGCTCGAAAACATAGGTTACCTTAAATAAACAATGATGTAAGTTAATAAGAAATAAGTTATTTATGTTGGAAATATATCTTATATATATATACAGACTGTCCCAAAAGTCCCGGACCGGTTTAATATTTTCTAAACGACAACAGATAAATCAATAAGATTTTGCACATCAACACCACACTTAAAAATCTACTTTTTTAAGGAACTATCAGTTTTCTGTCATATCAAGGGGACGTCCTACAAGGAGTCAGAAGGAAATCTTAAATAGGAGCATAGGTCAATATGCATATCAGTTTAAAGGGCTTGGGTAGCAGAGTTCAATGCCGGAAACCGCGCCTCAAAAGGATCACCCGTTACAAAATGGCGGCCGTTCAAAGATTTCTAAAACCTGCCATTTTGAATCTTTGAACGACTGCCAATTTTTACTCAGGCGTTCTTTTGAGCTTGAATTTACGGCATTGTAATCTACTAGTAAAGACCTTCAATTTGATGTGCATATCAACCTATGCTTACGTTAACAATTTTTTTTCCGATTCCTAGGGCTGTGCCCCCAAATGCAAATTAAATGAATCTTTGAACCACTGTCATTTTTGACTTGGTTGTCCGTTTGAGTTCAAATTTGCAGCATTATATTCTGCTAGTAAAGGCCTTTAATTTGATGTACATGTCAACCTATGCTTCTATTTAAGATTTCCTTCTGACTCCTTGCGGGACGTCCCCAAGATGTGACAGAAAATTTATATTTCCTTAAAAAAGTAGATTTTTAGGTGTGTATTTGATGTACCAAATCTTATTGATTTATCTGTTGTCGTTTAGAAAATATTAAACCGGTCCGGAACTTTTGGGACAGTCTGTATAAGATATTATTCATGAATACAGTTAATATTTGTGTGAAGTACGTCGTGTTCAAAACAAATTAATAAGTTCGACATGTAGTTTTTAGCGAATTTCCCATATAGGGAATAAGCTATTACCGTAGTACTCATGGTAAGACCTGGACGCGGGACCGATTTTTTTTTTCGTTTCGAGGTCCCTAGAGGCCAAAAACACCATCCGTTCAATTTCATATATATATATATATTTATATATATATATATTTATATATATATATATTTATATACAGACTGTCCCAAAAGTTCCGGACCGGTTTAATATTTTCTAAACTAAAACAGATAATTCAATAAGATTTGGTACATCAACACCACACCTAAAAATCTACTTTTTTAAGGAAATATCAATTTTCTGTCACATCACGGGGACGTCCCGCAAGGAGTCAGAAGGAAATCTTAAATAGAAGCATGGGTTGACATGCACATCAAATTAAAGGTCTTCACTAGTAGATTACAATGCCGTAAATTATAGCTCAAAAGAACGCCTGAGTACAAAATGGCAGTCGTTCAAAGATTCAAAATGGCAGGTTCAAAAAATCTTTGAACGTCTGCCATTTTTTACTCAGGCGTTCTTTTGAGCTTGAATTTACGGCATTGCAATCTACTAGTTAAGGTCTTTATTTTGATGTGCATGTCAACCTATGCTTCAATTTAAGATTTCCTTCTGACTCCTTGCGGGACGTCCCCATGATACGACAGAAAATTGATAGTTCCTTAAAAAAGTAGATTTTAAGTGTGGTGTTGATGTGCAAAATCTTATTGATTTATCTGTTGTCGTTTAGAAAATATTAAACCGGTCCGGGACTTTTGGGACAGTCTGTATATATATATATATGTGTGTCCGTTAGCACGATAACTCGAGCAAAAATGATCCGATTTTGATGAAATTTGGTACAAACGTGTAAACCTACGTTTATTCGAACGAGTTCGCGATCCAGCATGATCGGACCATGGGAACGGGGGTTTACGGGGGGTTTTATGGAGTAAAAATAGGTTTTTCGCATTTTTGACCCAAAAAACATAAAATTTAGCAATTTCTTTCCAAACCATTTTGTAGAGCTTAAAAAAACAAATAATTTAGTATATAGAAGCGTTATTATGCGCCTAATGGTTACGGAGAAAATTCCAAAAAATTGTAAATTTAAAATTCCCATGTTATTCTTATGGAGAATAAGCAAACTGTTGTAGTTTGCTTGTTTATGAACATATTTTGATCAAATTTGGAAAATGTTTTTATTTCTTACTAACTATTAACATAAAAAAAACAGTTTTACCTCCCTGATGCAGCAAACCTAAGTACTTGTTAAACTAATTCTATTTAAATCGGGAATAAATGTTATATTTTTAAGTAGACATTTCAGTGTAAATCTAATCAGTCAAATGGAAATTCGCTTAGTCTGCAGGTTTGCTGCGGCGGGTGTATTTATAACTATGGTTGATAATTTAGTTTTACTAGAAGATGGCCTAAAATATTTCTGAAGAGATCCATTGTTCAGTAAATCAATTGAAAACTCTTCTTTATTGAGGCAAAATTAAGACTTCTTATCATGGTCTATTCTTCCAGTTAACCTCTAGAAAACTAGCAATAACGTAAAATTTACAAATAAAGCAACAAAGTTTGTAATAATTTAAAATCATATATAAAGAAAACGTGACAGGGTTTATTTATTTCACAATTTAGAATCAACCAGAATTTAGTTTTTTTGAAAATAAGTTTAAATTTTAAAAATCAGCAGACTTAAACATTCTACACTAGCTTTTTGTATTAATTTGCTTAACGTAACAGCTATAAATATAAGCGTGTCTGACACAAATTCAGAATTTGGATAATAATGACATGCATAGGATTGACTTGTTTATACTGTGTGTAATGCTATACTCATTGATACGTTCTTTTAACAAAAAATAATATATATATTACGATTTAAATATAAAATTATTCTATAGAACTATCAGGTTAGTTTATTATTCTGTAATTTTGCTTATTATTCTGTAATTTTGCCATTAATTATAGGAAATAAGTACGATTCTATAACCACTGATTTATACAAATTGAGGCTCTGCCCTCGAGTCTTCAAAAGAAACATGCAACATTATTTTTCTGTTACTCTTTGGAAAAGAATAGGAAAATAACAATGTTTACATGTTTTAATTCATCTTGGCAGGTTTTTGTTTACAAAAAATGTTTCACGGCTTAAACTTTGCTTGAATTAGAAATGGAAATATTGTCATAACGTTTAGTTTTAGTTGATTACTCAACTCCCGTACGTAGGACGGGCCAACAGCTCGTTTAAACTGAAAATATTAACAACAATGATACATATACGTGTATCTATAGGGAGAGAGTGACTAATTAATTAATTAGGATGGGGCATGTCCACTGATTGGACACTTTAATGGGGGTCTTAACTTGTATAGTTAAAAGCAAAACTCTGTAGAAGGATATACTCACAAATTACTTAAAATCTGGGTTAGCTTTTGCTAATTCGTTTGAGGACAATTAGTAAAATAAAATATTAATATTTACTTAAATAATTAATCAAATATGAATAAACACACTAGAATTTCTATTGACCAATAATTATACATACAAAAAAGCTATTTATTTTAACTTACAATATGCAAAACTGCAATTATATAACAGCTGAGCCTCAGTGGAAGATAGAAACAGCAAGTTGTTAGCAAAGCCATCAAAAGCTGAAAAGTTAGAATCAGTTTTAATTTTAATTTTTTATTTCTCTTGAAGACTACATTTGATACCCCAGTGTTATTTGAACATTAAAAATATATCCTTACGTAATAATAAATTCTATTTGTAACAGGGCCTACTTTTTTATGTTAGCTAAATCAATGTTTTTATTCGAATCTATGAATGGATATGTTTGACTTATATTTTAGTAAAACTCTTTTTAACATTTGAAATTATGTTGTGCCATAATATATTATTTTGTTGAGTGCATGTTATCTTACAA